TATATATATATATACACACATATATATATATATATATATATATACATATACAGTGTTTGTGAGTGTTTATGAAGGAAGCCAATGAGACCCTAATTCACTCTTACCTGTCGTAGGAGAAGTCAGAAAGCATGCATCAGCTTGCCCTCTCTCTGCCTTATCCTTCTCCATCCTTCTCTCATTTACACTCTACCCTTCCCTGTATCCTCCATCTGTTGTTGTGTATCTCGTTGCGTCTAGGAGTTATTTCGGTGCACAGTTGCCTCGAACAAACACACCTGTCTTGAATGCCTGCTGCCTGTTAGGCCGATGAGGCTGACGCAGCAGCACTGGTAAACGATGAGAAAGAGAAGAGACAAAGGTAGAAAAGATGGGGGGGCAAGAACAAAAAAAGAAAGCAGGAAGGAAGGAAATAGATCACTTGCTTTTTCTAAAGAATCTGCTTGTAGTCTACATTCGGCCTCTGGGAGGAGCATGAGCTCGGCTCCGCATCCCGATGACTCATCCCAAAACGAACACTTCTCGAACAGTTCAATGCCCCTCACATCACTTGTTTCAGTGTCATCCAATGAAGCATTGAGCAATCGGGCTGTCAGGGCTGCCATCCACTTCCAGCCGTTGGAAAGAGTGCAGTTTAATTGACTTAAAATGTCTTTGGGTTGCCCCGCAGCGTTTGAGTTATGAATCGTCACTCACGGTGTTCATCTCTGCGTTGACAGGTATTGCTGTGGATAAAAACGGGCTGATGTACTTCGTGGATGCCACCATGATCCGGAAGGTGGACCAGAACGGCATCATCTCCACTTTGCTGGGGGCCAACGATCTGACTGCCGTGCGGCCGCTGAGCTGTGACTCCAGCATGGACGTCAGCCAGGTACGCCGGTCATAAGAGGGAAGTGCAGGAGACACTCTGGGTGATGGTGTGATGGATGATGATCTAACGGCCCAGTGAGTGCTGAGCTTGTGTGGACACGCGCCAGGAGGTCAGGGAGGGACTGATTTAGGGGGGGATTAAAGAGACTGTGGATAAATGAATGGATCAGAAGAGAGTGAAGAACGCAGTCACTTAAAAAAATGAAGAAGAGACTTGTGCGAACCTTGGCGTCCTTTCAAAACGCCTCCTTCAGCATAGATATTATCTCACGGTTAACTTTTCTTTCTACCCATTAGGTGCGTCTCGAGTGGCCCACGGACCTTGCAGTGAACCCCATGGACAACTCTCTCTATATCCTGGAAAACAATGTTGTCCTACGCATCACTGAGAACCACCAGGTCTGTACCACAAGGCTCCATTGCCCCGACAAGACCCTTAGGGTGGCTGTGACAGGATTTAGTCCCAATTAGGCTTTTCTCAAGCCAATTTAGAAGTAAAAGTTAAAACATGGTTTTCAAAGTTTCACACTGGCGGTAACGTTGCTGATTAATTAGCTCTTAGAATATTATACTTTCTGGAATTCATTATGGGAAGTTTAACCGCAGGTCTTTTAGAGAGAAAAGGCTGCGCACTTCTTTATATTTGGGATATTATTATAAGTTTGATCATTGATTTTCTGTCCTTGCCCACAGGTGAGCATCATCGCAGGTCGGCCCATGCATTGCCAAGTGCCGGGTATCGACTACAGCCTCAGTAAGCTGGCCATACACGCGGCCCTGGAGAGCGCCACGGCCATCGCCCTGTCCCACACCGGCGTCCTGTACATCGCCGAGACGGATGAGAAAAAGATCAACAGAGTTAGACAGGTATGAGATGGAGAAAAGCTGTACACAGTTGTTTCAGCCCTGTTGTTGTTTTAGAATGAATGTGTTGGGCGTATTTTGTTGGCAAGCAAAAACTGACAGCACAGCTGGTCGGGCTGCGTGGGTGTTTCTATTTTTTTAAGGCATTCTGAGATTGTTTTCAGATCTACAGACACTACATCCCTTTTGATAACACAAAATGAGTTGCGCTTTTGGTGAGACATTTTCTTTCATTGCTTGTTGACTTTTGTTTTTTTGTAATTGCATTTTTCTGTCATTTTTTTCCTAGGTTAGCACCAATGGAGAAATCTCTCTCCTGGCTGGCGTCGCCTCCGACTGCGACTGCAAGAATGATGTCAACTGCAACTGTTTCTACGGCGATGACGGCTACGCCCCAGATGCCGGCTTGAACTCGCCTACATCCTTGGCCGTGTCCCCTGATGGGACCCTTTTCATCGCAGACCTCAACAACATTCGCATCAGGGCCGTGCGAGCCAACAGGCCGGGCCCCGCCGTCTCCAGCGTTGGATTCGGAGGAGCTGCGCAGTATGAGGTCGCATCGCCAAGGGAACAGGAGCTGTATGTCTTCAACGGGGAGGGGCTTCACATCCAGACAATCAGCTTAGTGACTGGTGAGCCACTTTACAACTTCACCTATGGCCCTGACGGAGAGCTGGCCACACTGGTGGATAACTGCAACAACACAGTGAAGGTGAGGAGGGATGGCCAGGGCCAGGGAGGGGGGGCCGGCCTGCTCCGACTGGTGCTGCTCCCAGAGAATCAGGTGGTGATGCTGGGACTGGACCCCACCGGAGGGCTGCGGAGCGTGTCAGCCATGGGCCAGGAAGTGGCTCTGATGGGCTACAGTGGCAACACGGGCCTCCTGGCTACCAAAGCTGATGAGACTGGATGGACCACATTTTACCAGTGAGTGTTTGGGAGAGTGTCCACCACTTTTCCTACAAGCCTGAAATACAAAATTAATGAGTTCACGGGTTTTATGTTCGCCATGTTCTACTGCATTCCCAATTATTCCTCTGACAACTCACACAGCGTGCTGCTGCCCCCCAGAGTTAGCTTTTACAACTGCAACCAGTTCCTCTAAGGATGACTTGAAAAGGTTTTAGAGCTGCAACGATTAATTAAATAACCAAATGATACATTTACATAAAGATTATATTTGCTATTTTGATCAGGAGTTTTCGTTGGCTTAATGCAAAAATTACAGAACATGCTGTATTCAGCCTTTTAAACATTGAGGTTTAGTGCTTTACTCTGTGTTCAATTATATAAAAGTGAACATCTTTGGTGTTAGACTGACAAATCTAAACATTAAAAAGACATCACATTGATTCAATAGATCAAACAATTAATCTATAAAATATGAATGAATTGATGAAAAAAAATGATAGTTTCAGAACAAATTTTACTTTTTGAGTTTGTGAGTGTGTCCAAAACATGTGAAAGACAAATATTTACAACATCAGGTGGTATGAAAATGAAAGATACAAAGCCTTGACATGGAGTTTTGAATTTCTAAATTAAGTGTGTTTTCTGCAGCAGCATCCTTCAGTTTTGTCCTCCGATACATGTCGTCCTCCCCTCACCGCTCTGCTCCCGTCCTCCAGGTACGACAGCGAGGGCCGCCTGACCAACGTCACGTACCCCACGGGCATGGTGACGAGCCTCCACCGTGAGATCGAGCGCTCCATCAACATCGACATCGAGAGCTCCAGCAGAGACGACGATGTCACAGTCATCACCAACCTGTCCTCCGTCGAAGCCTCGTACACCGTGGTCCAAGGTAGGGAGACTCGCTCAGCCGCACAAACAGGACGTGCAGTGGAAAAACGAGCCGCTCATGAATTTTTAAACACTTGCAGAGGATGTGGCACGAAGGTGGACAAATGCTTGCCTCTAGTCATCAACACAGGGCAATATAAATCAATCAATATTTATGATATTAATTAATTATAGAGCAGCCGATAAAGTGGGTCTGTTTTTATGTAGTCTGAGCTTTGGCAGACTTTAAAGCTTCTTCATCTCAGTATTCAAAACATAGCCGCCCTCTGTGATGGTGAATATGCGCCGGCCTGCCGACTCTAATTGAAAGTCTTGTAATTTTCACTCCGCTGTGAGCCGGCTCCAGGAAATGATTTTCCATTCCTTTCCACATCCAACCCTCTTCTCCCTACCTGTCATGGAGTGAAATTACCAATATATAGCTGCTAATCCCAGCTGGGATCATCCTGCTTTTGAATATCATCACAGAAAAAAAAATTCATTAACTCACACGGGGTGAATCCTCCTCATCCCTCAAGCTTCCCCCTCTCAGGCACATGCGTAGAACTTAAAAACACAGCCCTCTTCTTTTTCCCCCATGATCCCTGAGCTTATTTGGTTCTTTAAAGAGGAAGGAGAAGAAGGAGAATAATGTTTCCTTGACCAGTGGCGTGACAGAAGTGTGAGTATGCAGACTGTGAAAGTGTGAAGGCCTCGGAGAGAATAAGTTGTAGATGTATTCAGCGAAATCCACCTGCGTTGCGGAAGGAAAATGGGGGAGAGTTGTTCGCAGAGCTGTAAGTCATTTAAGGCTTCCACCGCACTGTGGGTTTCAGCACGGCTCTCTGCTGACATACTCACTTAACCATCTCCCTCTCTTCCTCGCTCTCTTCATTAACTCATGCACAGTGAATTCTCGCCGGCCCTCCAGCTCTCGTTTCTCCCCCCCCCCCCCCCTTGCTTCTGTTTTATTACGAGGTCGTTCAGACAGAGAGAGCAAAGAAGATTTATCTAAAGGCCGTTGCTGCCAAGTCAATGGAAAAAGCTTCACTTGTCTGTTTGAGGCATTGTTAAAAATGTGCCTGGAGCTTTATTACAAATTGGCCTTATGGATTACTGTCATTTATAGAGGGGCTTCAAATGCAGACACTATCTGATCCCTTAACCTTTTGTAAATGAAATTATAAGGGGGGAAAAGCCTTCTTTCCGCATCTGCCAGATATTTCTGAGCGGAAAAACTATTTTATCTCGTTTCAATCGCATCGTGTGATCGGGATGCCTGTTTTCAGACATCTGAGGGAACATTTTACCTCAGCATTAGGCATGGGCTTATCTGTTTCCATTCTTGTGTTTGAGAGTGAGTCATTAAACTGTAAAGATGGGCAGATTATAGATAGTCAGTTCAGCCTGACTATTTTCATTCAGATTACTTTGGAGTTTGTACAAAGAGGAATCAGGTCCATAAATATTTTATAGACATCATTTGGGTCTTACTGACACGAGCTTCTCGGCTTAAGATTGTACTTTTCCTTCTCTCGTTAACTTGACTTTTCCGGCAGAAGGCAAATACAAATTAAAATGTTTTGTATGAGGTACTGTGCCTGTGGAGGCAGGAGTTATGGCCCGGAAGCTTACCAATGTATTGCTATGGATGACTGCAGGGGATAGTTTGTGTAATTGTGAGACTTTGATTATTTCCTAATCATCAGATTCACACAATAACAAAAACAGCAGTAGACCAGCGACTTTGATTCTTCAAGGTAGAATGGCTGTTTATTTCTATAGATTTTGGTGGCTTTAGCTAGAACATAGATGGATGTAATGGCTTCAGTTCCCTGATGGAAAGAGCTTTGAGGAGGCAAGGTAAAGTGGTGAAAATTCTCTTAATAAAGTGCACTCTTACGACTTTTTATATTTTTCTACGTTGGCCATTTTTTTAGGTGGCTAAAATACATTTTTCACATCGCTGCAGTACATTTCTTAGCTTCCATGCCTTAACTCCTCTAAGACTTTTTACTGGGAGCATGCTGACTGCCATCTACTATACTGTCATAAGTACCTCATGTAACCCCACCTCAAACATCCAAACTATCCTTTTAAATTGTATTTTCTTGTATTAATAACTTAATTCTTACAACATGTAGACCAAGATCATCTGGTCTTCCTAGTGGCTTCTGTCCTTGCCTCCCTTATACCTGTTTCTCTCCCCCTACAGACCAGGTGAGGAACAGCTACCAGCTGTGCAACAATGGGACCCTGAGAGTGATGTACGCCAATGGTATGGGAATCAGCTTTCACACCGAGCCCCACCTCCTGGCAGGCTCCGTCAGCCCTACGATTGGCCGCAGGAACATCACCCTGCCCACTGACAATGGCCTCAACTCCATTGAATGGCGTCTGCGCAAGGAGCAGACCAAGGGCAGGGTCACCGTGTTCGGGAGGAAGCTCAGAGTGAGTTGTCTTTGAGTGAACGCACCCCTGTTAGATATAATAATGACATTGAAGATGAAATGAACCTCTCCTTTCCCCCCTTTTTCTTTAGGCTCATGGTCGCAATCTTCTATCTATTGACTTTGACCGCAACACGCGCACAGAGAAGATTTACGATGACCACCGGAAGTTCACGCTGCGCATCATGTACGACGCTCAGGGCCGGCCAGCCATGTGGTTGCCCAGCAGCAGCCTGGCGGTGGTCAATGTGTCCTATTCTACCACTGGACAACTGGTCGGGCTGCAGAGGGGGAGCATGAGCGAGAAGACAGAGTTTGACCCCCAGGGACGCGTCCTGTCTCGCTCTTTCGTAGATGGGAAGGTGTGGAGCTACAGCTACCTTGACAAAGTAAGTCACATTGTCATCTAGGTATCAAATCAAGGCAAGGAGGAATAGGCGTGTGGCGCAGTGGAATAGTGCGTTGGTGTTTGGATCAGGGGAGCACAGGTTCAAACCCCACTGCAGTCCGCATGTCGTTGTGTCCCTGGGCAAGACACTTCACCCCAAACTGCTCCTGGGGAGATTGCCCACAGTATTGAGTATGTAAGACGCTTTGGATAAAAGTGTGACATGTAATGAATAGCAATTTGAATTGTAGAATTTAGTGGAGTAATACATCATTTTCATGGTTATGAAGTTTCAAATGTGTCAGTTGAAAGCAAATTACTGCCGGTGCTATTTCACAGGAGGCAAGTCATCCATTGATAATGCTATTATATTAATCCGGATTTTCCCTCCCTCTCTGCTCCCAGTCCATGGTGCTGCTGCTGCAGAGCCAGAGACAGTACGTCTTTGAGTTTGACGCCTCGGGTCGTGTCACAGCGGTCACCATGCCCAGCGTGGCCCGCCACACCATGTTCACGCACGTATCAGTGGGCTACATCCGCAACACCTACAACCCTCCAGAGAGCAACGCCTCCATCATCCACGACTTCAGTGAGGACGGCCGACCTCAGGCCACGCACTTCATGGGCACCGGCCGCCGCGTCCTCTACAAGTACGGCAAGCTGGCCAAGCTGTCCGAGATCGTGTACGACAGCACTGCCGTCACTTTCGGCTACGACGAGACGGCCGGCGTGCTGAAGATGGTCAACCTGCAAAGCGGGGGCTTCTCTTGCACCATCCGTTATCGCAAAATGGGCCCGCTCATTGACAAGCAGATCTACCGCTTCAGCGAGGAGGGAATGGTCAACGCCAGGTTCGACTACACCTACCACGACAACAGCTTCCGCATCGCCAGCATGAAGCCAGTCATCAGTGAGACGCCACTTCCTGTTGACCTATACCGATACGACGAGATCTCTGGAAAGGTGCCAAAATGTTCCTCTAGTCTACTTTTCATTAGTTTTGAGCAATGATGTACAAAAAAATTATTTAAAAAACACATTTGTCTGTGGATGTAAATTTTTTGGCAGCCACTGACTCATCTTTTCTCTAAACCTTTCAGGTGGAGCACTTTGGAAAGTTTGGGGTCATTTACTACGACATTAATCAAATCATCACCACTGCCGTTATGACGCTGAGCAAGCATTTCGACACCCACGGTCGCATCAAGGAGGTCCAGTACGAGATCTTCCGCTCGCTGATGTACTGGATGACGGTGCAGTACGACAGCATGGGACGGGTGGTGAAGAGAGAACTCAAAATCGGGCCCTACGCCAACACCACTCAGTACCGCTATGATTATGATGGAGACGGACAGCTCAGCGGCGTCAAGGTGAATATTTAGTTTGGAGAGAGTTTGTACTCTTTGATATAGATTTGTTAAGCACTGTCTAATCTTTAGCATCTTCACCCTGCCTGCACTTTATAAAAGTGTTCCGAGGATAAAAAGTTCTGAGTCAAAAATGAAACGACACAAAACTATTCTATAATATTCCGCTTTCATATTTTAAACAACCTCCTTCCTAATAACTACAGATTTGTTTTATTATCAGAATTAGACATTGAGATGCCATTTTGTTTACCTGCCTTTTGTGAGAAAAAAAGATCCACTAAATTGTAAACATTGACTGGGAGGGTTTCTCTGAAATGTCTGTTGGTTGGCTACACAGTTTATTATCAACTTATTAAAGTATCTGATGTTGAATCTTGATTCCCTAGTGAAGCACCAACATTAAGGCTGTTAATGTTGAATTAAGACCACTCTAACCTGTCAGGCCATGATTGCAATAGACTCAACCCAACCCCCTTGTTTTCTCCAGGTGAATGACTGGTCCACCTGGCGCTACAGCTACGACCTGAACGGTAACCTCCATCTGCTGAACCCCGGGAACAGCGCCCGCATCCTGCCGCTCCGCTACGACCTCCGAGACCGCATCACGCGCCTGGGAGACGTCCAGTACCGCGTGGATGAAGACGGCTACCTCAGCCAGCGCGGCTCAGACGTCTTTGACTACAACTCCAAAGGTCAGCTGCTGAGGGCCTACAATCGGGGCCCCGGAGGCTGGAGCGTGGTGTATCACTACGATGGGCTGGGTCGCAGGGTGTCCACCAGGAACAGCCTGGGGCAGCACCTGCAGTTCTTCTATGCTAACCTCAACCACCCCACCAGGGTCACACACATCTTCAACCACTCCAGCTCGGAGATCTCATCACTCTACTATGACCTGCAGGTACATATCCCTTCTTTATATTCCGACTAATCTGCATATATTGATCATCTTTTCTCGGGAAACCTGAATATTTATAGGTTTCATTTTATAGTAAAAAACATTGTACCCTCAATTTTATGACTTTCTTGTGATCAGGGACATTTGTTTGCCATGGAGGTGAGCAGTGGAGAGGAATACTACATAGCTTCTGACAACACTGGCACACCGCTGGCTGTCTTCAGCAGCAATGGGCAAATGATCAAACAGGTAATTTACAAAATCTCACATTCTTCTACGGCTTCAACATTTTAATTAGGTGTTAAAACTAATCTGCATTGCAAATGTTCTCCACTTGTGTCACCCAGGTGCAGTACACAGCCTACGGAGAAGTGTACCTGGATTCAAACCCGGAGTTCCAGCTGGTGGTGGGTTTCCACGGCGGTCTCTACGACCCTCTGACTAAGCTGGTCCACTTCACCCAGCGGGACTACGACGTGTTGGCCGGGCGCTGGACCTCGCCCGACTACAGCATCTGGCCCAAGATAGGGAAGGATCCCGCTCCGTTCAATTTGTACATGTTCAAGAACAACAACCCCCTCAGTGACATGCTGGATGTCAAAAATTATGTCACAGGTAAAGGATTCATATGTTTTTAATGTGCAAATGTCTAATTATGTTGTATGAATTTCCCCATGGTATCTAGAAACTGATTTCTGAAATAGTGATCCATTTGACATTCTTTTCTCTCCTGTGCTTATGACATAATAATAATAATAATAATAATAATAATAATAGGGGAAGAACAAAATAAAAACTTTTTTTTCTGAATGATATTTATCACAAGTTACATGAAGATGAAAATAGATTTGCTGCCAAAAGAAATACAAGACAATAATGTGATATGAAATACTAACACATAATACATGTTCCTTTTGTTTCAAACATAAACTCTGCTTTGAGTCTCATTTACAAGCTGAGGTACTGTTGCACTCCTGTGGCCAAAATAGGTATTACAAAAAAATATATTTTTTAAAAGAATATGAAATAAGAAAGATTATTCCACCAGTTCTTATGTCATAAACTCTAAATAAAAGATAACATTTAATATATTTGATTAAACTTGCCTCTCAGGGCTTTGAGTATACAGCAGAATAGTCCGATGGAACCCACAGTGTACTGTTCAGACAGCAGATCCGTAATTCAATCACATCTCCAGAACAAGCTCAAATTAGCTTGTTACGGTATGTCCTGACATTGTCTCTGATATCTCTAGAGTGCAGGAGAATCAGATTATTGCTGAAACAATATGCAAGTAGAATGTATTGCGGATAGTAAAGTAGCTGATAGCTCTGCATAACACCAGATGAGTCACGCAAGCAACCGCACTTTCACTTTTTATGAGGAAAAATGATTCATTTGCACTTAATTAATTCCCCTCCTGTCTGCCTTAGATGTGAAGAGCTGGCTGGTGATGTTTGGCTTCCAGCTCAGCAACATAATCCCAGGGTTCCCCCGACACTCACTCTACTTTGTGGAGCCGCCCTACGAGCTGCAGGCCACCCAGCACTGTGAGAACGGACAGGTAGGGAGTGCATCGACAGAATCAAGCCAATATTAACCCTGTGATAGTGGCTCAGATGTTTATGTCAACACAGATAAGTCAAAAACACTCTTCTTGTTTCTCTTGTAGCTCATCACGGGTGTGCAGCAGGCAGCAGAGCGTCACAACCAGGCTTTCATGGCCCTGGAGGGTCGTCTCCTCAACAAGGAACGGAGAAGACGCAAGGACAAGCCGGGTCACTGGTTCGGCACCAGCACCCCAATAATAGGCCGAGGGGTGATGCTGGCTTTGAAGGAAGGCCGGGTGGTGGCCGGCGTGTCGGCTCTGGCCAGTGACGACAGCCGCAAAGTGGCTCTGGTGCTCAATGGCGCTCAGTACCTGGAAGGCACCCACTACACCCTGGACGCCAAGGACTGCCACTACTTTGTGAAGGTCGGCTCTGCGGACAGTGACCTATTAGCTTTGGGGCTAACTAACGGGCGGAAGTCACTGGAGAGCGGCATCAATGTGACGGTGAGCGGCCGGTCGAGGAGAGGCGTGACTGTGGAGTTCGCCGTTCCCTCGTTAGTGCTGAGTGTTCGGTACGGGCTTGCTGCGGACGTGGTGGACGAAGAGAAGGTAAGACTGTTGGAGCTGGCCAGGCAGAGAGCCCTGGCTGGGGCCTGGGCCAAGGAGCAGCAGAGGGCCAGGGACGGGAAGGGAGGCAGTCGCCTCTGGACGGAGGGGGAGAGACAGCAGCTCCTAACAACGGGCAGAGTACAGGGCTACGATGGATACTATGTACTGCCTGTGGAGCAGTACCCAGAACTGGCTGACAGCAGCAACAACATCCAGTTCCTCAGACAGAACGAGATGGGCAAGAGGTAACAGCCCATCAGACTCTCCCTCTCTCTCCCACCTTTCACTTCTCTAGATCCTGCTCCTTTTTCCTACCCAGCCTCCTCGGACCCCTCTCCTCTCTAAACCCACGGAGAATTAACCACCAAAGGGGGGTTACTATGGAACGCTGCAGGGACTTTTGAAAAGAATGAAAGATATTATTGTTGATTTTACTGCCACAGGCAAAACATTTAAAGTTTAGTCAAATGTCTTTTTGTTGTTTTTTTGGAAAAAAACTTTGAACAACTGAAAAAGCACTGAAGAACTTTGAGAACCGTTGCTTAATGAATAAGAAGATTCCCCTTTTTAAAAAAGATAGTGATATTTTCGCCCATATTTTCTGGGTCACACTGAGAGCGGCGGCCATGACAGCTACTGAGCACGCGGTGGAGTTGTACTGCGCTGGATTCTGCGGCGAACGCTTTTCTGTCTCTAATAGACACTGAACGCAAAGGGACCAAAGTGGAGACAAGGCCACTCCAGAGTTCAGCCATTACAACTACACATCAAAGGAAGACGTCATAAACCGCGACACACAAAGGAAATGTTAAAGGTCGTCCAATAGTATGAGTCGTCTCCCTGTCTCAGGCCTCCCATCGTCCACCACGGACCAGTCCTCTGCTGCTGAGTCAGCGCACATCCAACCAAGCAACACACAAGCTAACGGCATCCTTCAACAAAACCAAGCTGTTAATGGACTCGAAAACACTTTTTAAAAAAACAAAGTAAAAAAAGTGATGGCTATATTTGTGGACAGTGTATCACACAGCATTGTTTATTTTAAAATGGGGTGAAGATCATATTACTACATATGTGTCCGACTTCACTAAATTTCAGGATGTTGCGTATATCGTAGATGCCGTAGTTTTGTACGTTTCAGTCGCGGTAGAATTGTGAGACTTTCACCAAGGCACTTCTGTACAGAATGATCAAACACACCACTCACAGAGTCCGGAAAAAACATGCTAAGTTAGTATTTATTTTATTCTTTTTTATTTATTTATTCTTAGTACTATATGACAATCATGAATGAGTCACCAGTTCTATTCCAAATGAACATTAATGGATGAGTTTATTTTATTTTGTAAAATATGTAAGAAATTTTGTTTTTGTATTAATTTCAGTTTGCTGCCGGGGGCAAATAATAGTCACTCTCAAAAAGAATAATTTATGTAATAAAGTGTTTAAAAAAAAAAGAAGCGGTTTATACTTTAAATAAAGTCTTTAAAACTGTGAAATCTGTTTTTTCGAGCTATATTTCGATGTACAGTGTATAGACCTACCTTTATGCAGCACAGTAGAATATTGTCCAGAATATCAAGTTTTATATTTCTAAGAGGAAGTGGCTTGTAATGTGCAAAATCTTTAGCTGGTCTTACTACTCTAGAGTTTTGTGGCACTCTAATATTCCATATCTACAATATCGACCCCGAGTTTGTTGTTTTTGACTGTTTTTTGGTTTTGAAAGCAGAGGTTAATCTGTCCTAGATCCCAACAGCAGTAGCAGTAATGGATCCCTCTCACTGTGAAGAGACTCGTGCTGGATGTCATAATGTACCAAATCAGTATTATCAAAGGATGATTCTTATACATTCACTGAACGAGACTCTTCTGAGAACCTTATCAATAAAACATAATTGTTTACTTCAACTGAGCAGCGTGTAGTTCACTTTCATCTCGTTTTTTGTTTTGTGTTTGAAGATGATTGATGTTCTTTTTCACAGTCGTAATTCCAACAGCTCACATTAACATAGGTGCACTGGTGTTATGGGAAAGCTCCTTTAATGAAAACAAGCAGATTGTGCCTCAACAGGTATGTTTTTGCTCCATATATTCTTGTTTCAAATAAATAACCAATACACTCATTAGTAGACGAAAGGCCTGCCCACGCACAACTACCGCTTTCCTTTCTTCAGACATACTGCTTGCATTTCCAAACACATGCTTAGGGGCCAATATTCTTCTTTACACTGACTGTTCTTCGATTAGGATGTGCCATTTATGAAGCCATTTCAATTACGCCTGTTAAGTGCTTACGGATAAATGTTTTTCCCTGGGATAATTTTCCTCCACTCTATTGAATTTTAAATGCCTCATTCTCCCTCGACTGTGTTAAAACAGGTTAAATTGTCTGTAATCATCAATATATTATCACGCAAATTGAATACATGACTACAGCGCCTTTAGAATGTATTTACATCCCCCTTTTTTACATTTTGTAATGTTGTACCACTACGCTAAGTATTTAATAAAATAATCAATCTACACTCAACTACCCCAAATGACTAACAGAATATTTAGATAATTTTTCAGCTTGGGTAATTAAAAGAAAATACCAAATGAACATACAATTACGTACCTTTTTGCAATGGCGCTTGAATTGTAGCCTCCCGTTTCTCTTGCTAATCTTTGAGTCGGTTGATTGGAGTACACCTGTGGTAAATAATACTGATTGGACGTGATTTTGGAAGGCACACACCTGTGTATAAAAAGGTCTCACAGCTGACAATGCATAACGAGCTCAGAGACACTCACAGCAGACATGGCTTGTCACAGTAGGGAAAGCCCAGGTGTTACTAATAACACTAACGACAGCTCCTATTCAAGTGCCCCAGTGATAGGGAGCCAGCATGCACCATACCAGGAAGCTGAAATCAAATTCGGCCATCATCACTGTCATTATTTACACCTGTGCTTTTCCTACTGTGGCGAGTCAAAAAATGTCCTCCATGGAACATGCACAGGTCCGGGGAAGGTCGACAGCATTGCTTACATTTCAAATAGCTTCAATATTTGTGGAAGGATTTACTTGTAGGGATACCCACAAAGAATTATCAAAAACGGCAATATTACGACTGTCTTTTGAGTGTACAACCTTTTGTTGTTTTACAGCTCATAGTTTGATTTTGAGTGTTGGTTCACTCAGTTTTGATATCCTAGCTTTGTATCAGCAAAGAAAATGTCTTAAAGTAAAGTATGCATTATTCAGAATGACCCCTCCCCTGTCAGATACATGTAAAAAGTAGCATTAAATGTTTTATGTAAATTCTAAACTACTTTTTTTCTACAACTGCCTTTGGGTTGTGTATCAGGAAGCCATGAAACATCCTATAGATTCCCTGCTCAGTTGTGTGTGAACCTACCCCAACAGTTCCTATTTTTTCATGTGTGAAACATACTGGTAATGTGTCAGGCAGGCAACCATGTGCCCTCAACATCCTGCACCAGCAGCTGGGTTATAAATAGTCGAATGGATCCGGCCTGGCCCCGTCGGCTACAGTATACAGATCTATGCTCGCTGCTTTCCTGTAACCTCCACCACATACACAAACAACAAAACCAGCTATTTCATGGGAACAAATTATTTTAATGCAAGTCATCCAAAGCAAAAAGACATCTGACAGATCATTTGGTTTCTTGTAAGAAATCACATTTTCTTCTTTTTTTATTTTCATTTTCCAGTTTTATCTCCAAGGTATGTAATAAAAATAACATTGGAATCATTTTTCATATCAAGATCACAATGAGAAAAAACAAACATTGCGGCCATCGACTGCTGACAGTAATCAAACATAAATTACTGTCATCTTTTTAAAAAATGCATTCCATTTATCGTCATGATTCCACCTGAAGACATACGTCGGCGAAAACAGCTTCTGTGCAAATGAAAGGGATACATCTCAAGCATCAGCTTCTTAAGAGCGCCCTGTGGCTCATTAACAGCCGGGGTGTTGGTGGTGGCCTTTGGGTGGGGTTGGGGGAGGGGGGGGCAGTGTAAGGAGTTGCCCTTGGCGTTGGGAACTAGCAGAAGGGGAGTTAAGGGATGGTTGACAGGGCAGGCAGGAGTATCTTACAGAGGTAATCATCATAAAGTGCCAAAGAGCCTCACACTAGATTAGCCTGAGATGTAAGTATACTGTAATGCTGTGTCTCAATATGCGTACTTCTATACTTACACTAGCAGTTTTGAGTGTTTAAGTGGGTTCCTTTGCAAAGTACGAAACATGCAGTGCATTATGAATACCAGGATGGTGTAATCATAACAGTCCAGAAGTTGAGTGTGGAACACGGGAACACTGGGCACTTCTTATCCTCATCGACCGCCATCTTGGCTTCGTAATGGAAGGGAATGACCATTTGGGATTGCTCCAGTAAACACAGCACTATACAAATGAACGTACCACTATACCATTGTCTAAAATAAGCCACCATTCATTTTATTGGGCTAATTCAGCAGTTTGTAGTGATTGCCACCACTTACGTCTATGTCGGCTAGCTAGCTAACTAGCTAACAGTGGCTATCTTCAACTTTACGTGAGGCCACAGCAGTCCTGTGCGTTTTAGGAGAACATTACCCAGTCTATTGTTCACAGTCTATGACATGCAGTGTATTCAAATAAGTATTCAAATTGAGACACAGCTTATGTATGCATTTGTTGCTATGTATCTGTGTGTGTGTGTGTATCTGCGTGTGTGTGTGTGTGTGTATCTGTGTGTATCTGTGTGTGTGTGTGTGTGTGTGTGTGTGTGTGTGTGTGTGTGTGTGTGTGTGTGTGTGTGTGTGTGTGTGTGTGTGTGTGTGTGTGTGTGTGTGTGTGTGTGTGTGTGTGTGTGTGTGTGTGTGTGTGTATTCCTGGTGTGTTGGTGTTAGATTACAGTGAAGAGCCTGCCTCTCAGGTTAGCTCAGTTACAAACTGCTACAGAGCAGCCCCTGCACAGGGTCAGTGAGTTATTCAGTGCTGAGGGATTCACGCCGAGTAAGCGGCTCCGGACAGAGACTTCCATATTGAAATCGAGGCTTTTATTTATAGACGAGGATAAAAGACTTGTAGAGGAAACGGAGGGTTGGTTTTGAGAGAGTGCGAGGTTTAAGGCAGATAAAGAGGGGGAGGATTGGGAAAGGGTGATGGGGTTCGAGGCACAGAAATGGGGGGCGAGGGGGTGAACAGGAATTGGATAGTAGTTATGTCAGCATGTCGAAGAGACAGCAGCAACACAGAGCTGTCCAGCAGGCCGTCAGGCACGAGTCCGAGCCGGAGTTGTCTCTTCTCCTGTCCTCCACCACGTACACTGGAGAAAGAAAGAGAGATGGGGAGAGAAGCAGGGTGGGAATATAAAAAAAGGGGATGGAGGGAAGAAGGGAGAGACAATTCAAAGAAAGCAATTAGTGATTAAAATCGTAGAGAAACACTGAGATAATTCACCGTCAAGTCTTCAGCGGTGGGCTCGAGTGTAACCATGGCTATGATTCTCCACTAATTACGTTCTTCACGGGAGGCACATCGTCATGGTAATGCCATAGCAGCCATGATCAGACGCCGTGACGGTTGAGTAACTTCAGCAGTGCTTTGAGGTATCATTAGACTAATGAAATGAGAGCTTCCTGAACTCCACGCCTCTACTCTGCCAACGACGCATTTCCCATTAATCCACATTGGTTTTATATCTCCTTCAGTCAATACAGCTAAGTAAGTCATGAGGCTGTGTTACTCTTATGTTAAGTTCACCATCTGCTCCACCTACACACAAATAGTCAAACAACAGGGACAGAAACACCCCCCCTTCCTGGTTTTTGTGATTAATCATTCATGTGGAGGGTAACACTCATCCAGCCTTTAACAGCCAGGTGCACTGACTCATGACATAGGTTACCAAGGCGACCGACTACCAGAGATTAAGTAAGGCTAGCTGACCACTTATCACACCGAACCCTGATAATGATATGACTGGTTAATGATTGGCCAATATTTAATAATGAATGTCAATCCAGGCAACGCAAAGCCAGAATCTGGATAGCAGCGTGCAGACCTTTGATCAGAAAGAGGAGGCTTATCTGGAGCAGTAACACCTCGCTGCTCGTGTTTAATAGATAACAGTGTTAACCGTGTTCTCCGCTTTGCATATTCATTTGGAATATTTTACCATGACATGTGTGCCTTTTTTTTTCTGGATGCTCAGTTGTGAGGCGTTGATGCCTACACACACCTTTTATCTTAAGCCTTCACACCTTTTAAATCCTTAGTTGCTCTTACTCTACATGGTGACAGGTTTTTCAGTCCCAGTCAATTAAACACTCATTTGTATTAATCAGTCAAAAAGGCAGAAAATAAATGCTCAATTATCTTGATAATTCAGACAGTATGAAGATGACTTTTGATTGTGTTCTGGTTTTATGTTTTTGTAGGTATTTGTAAGCAACTGTGATTGACAGAACATTGCTTTTGATTTTACATTTGTATTGTTATTTTATTTTTTAGGGGCAGATGTTCTTCTCCCTGCTCCTTTCCACCATGGGCTACACAAAAAGTGTACATGTTTGGTTTTAAAATAACTGCCATGTGTGGAAAAAACAAACAAATAAATAATAAAATACATAATAATTACGTTTTATTTTAAGCAGAACAGTCAAACATTTGTTGGTTTGGAGCCTCTGAGTTTTGAACATGTTCTGCTTATAATGGTTTTACATTTTAGTGACGCACATATATTTTTCTGCATTTGCAATTTCAAGACATATTGGGCTGCCGCTATACAGAATTGTGAGCGGCAGAAAGCCACCAGACTCCTTTGACAAAAAAGGACATTTAACTTTGCAGAAAACAGGAGTTGCTGGGCACCGCTGCCTTCATGGCTTAGTTTTTTTCTTGTGTGACTTTTGTGTTTTTAAGGGTTAGTTTCGATTCACTGAAGTCACAAAATAGCGCAAACAAACTGATCGAGGTAAAATCAAAGTTTTGTCAAAAGAGTCTTTGATAAGAGCACATAAAGAATACATAGCGGCTTTAGTTTATTTTCTAAAATGGTTTTGGTAGGGTGAAGTAGTGAAGATATTCAAAATAATGTGCACACTCAAAAATATATTTTCTGGGTGACTAGAAATATGTTTTTGCTGCTGCCCTCCCTCTACAGCACTACATTGTTTAGCTTGTGTTGGTACTCCTGTCTGCTTCTTCAATCTGAGGGAGTGCAGACTGCAATCTACTGACGGTAAATACACTGACTTTTAAAACCTCACACAACCCCACCTTAAAAAAACTAAAAACACTATCCTTTTCATGGAATGGTTTTGAGAGATTGTAATTAGAACAATTCCAAAATGGTCAAATGTTATTATCAATTTCCAATATTTGAATACAAGTATTTTTATCACAGGAATTTCCCCATAGATTCTTTACAATGCGAGTCTCTTGCTCGGTAAAAGACTCCCACCAATTAATGAAGAGGGTTTGGCTCAAATCTACTGTGGTAAAAGACAGTACACGTAATTTCAGTAATCAATACTAAAAAAGTGTCCCCTGCAACATGACCAAATGCAAAGAAAAAGTATTATAGCGTGTAAGCTCGCCTCTCTTTGTCGTGACGGCCTTTTGAGAAAATCCAAAAGCAGGTCTATTATACCAATATAAGGATACACTTATGTGAAACAGAATGTGACCGAAAGGGACTATTTGATCAAAAGAAGAGACTTTCAGTGTGTGAACAACGTGTCTACATCAGGAGACTGCTGGTTTTGCCTGAACTCACCTGGCAAACAAATTCTAGCTTTTTCAACATAACTTTTCCCTCTCAATACATGAACTCAGGGCTGCCCCTGGCCAACTTGTGGTCCCACGCAAAAGGTGTTTCATGAGGCCCCCCGGGTCTGTACACAAGTCGTCACATGTGTCGAGAGCGTTGAGAGGGGGGGGGGGGGGAGGAGGAGTGCGTGGGTGCTAGTGGAGCACGCTGGTGAACTGTTAGCACCGGATCCTCGCAGCGGGGAAACAGTGGAGCGCATGATTGCGCCGCATTTGCGCATAAGATGAGGCTACAAAGATGAGGCCCCACGCAGTCTGCGTGATCTGCGTGGAGGGAGGGGCGGCCCTGCATGAACTACAGGAAAGCACTTTTCCTCAGTGGCACTCCACCCACACTGCTCTGACACCATTATTGATATATATTATTAATACATATGCATTCATCTCCTTTGTGTCTAACCACTCACCTGTGTTTTTGGGAGCCTCCCCATACATTGGTCCAGGGGGTCCCCCCTGCCAGCCAAACTGTGGTTGCGGTTGTCCAGCGTACCCATAAGGAGGCTGTCCGGGGTCTTGATAAGGGCCTCCAGGGCCTCCAGGGCCCATTGGTCCCGCAGGGTAGTTGGGGTAAGCTGGATTGGGCTGCTCCATGTTCACTGGGTATCCCTGTGGAGGGTAACCCTGGTTAGGGTAGCCATGTGGAGGCGGGCCCTGGACCGGGTAGCCTGGAGCAGAGGGGCCATTGCCTGGGTACGGAGGGGGCTGCTCAAAATTCATCCTTTAGCTGAACGATCACCTCAATGACAAGGAAATAGAAGAGAGATGGTGAAAACAATGGAGAAAGGAGGTGTGTACTCAGTATTCACAAATGGGAAGAATACAAGTAATATAATACTAAGAACAAAAAAGACAGATATAAGAATTTGGAACATGTTTATCTGCTTTAAAAAAGAAATATATATATAGAGTGCAAAAACAACACACTGTGACTATTGAGGTGGTAGAAAAAAAAAGGAACAGGGGACAAATACTGAAAAACAAGTCGCTGTACATAACCTGACATGATGCATGACAAACAAGAGCAAAAATAGGCATAATAGTAATTGTCTAATAGCAATTGCTTAAATAAAAAAAAATGTATATTTGGAAAATTATAAAATAGTTAGGCAGTAATAATAAGGGAGGAATTAACAATAAATAAATCAGTAGGGAATGTTTTTCTGATTTTATGCAACATGCAGACCTATATGAGGATATATTGTAAAAGTAATACACAATACAGACTATACATAATTAAACAACCCTTATATATATTAGTGTATAACAAAGTTGGAAATACATATTTTCATGTATAGTTTAATTATACTGCATACCTGTATACTGAATTCCCACACTACAACAATAAAAGTATGCATATGTTGTGGTTATTGCGGTGAAGCTCAATCACCAATCTATCGACATAGTTTGCAATTATTGTGCAATTTATGAGAATGCGCCTTAATTAAATGAAACTATCAGAATAATGTGTGGTTTTGTATGGACCGCAGAGAAGTGTGTGTGTGCGTGTGCGTGTGCGTGTGTGTGTGTGTGTGTGTGTGCCTCCTGAGTCACATTAGACAATGAGCTCCTCTGAGTCCTGGTTTCAGAGAACAACTGATGCAACTGTTTGCCAGAACAGGAAAGTACATTGCACAGATTTTTCCCTAATTCCCTTAAAAATATCTCCTTCTGTGCCGTCTCACACAAACAAACAACTATGCTCTCCACAGCCACGCAGGAAATTGAAGCACAACAGATTTGTTGTTGCTAGTTGAGGGAGTCAATAGTCAATTACAACCAGCGTCCACCCTACTACAGAGTAGCACCATTTTTCTTACTGGTCACACACTTTACAAATGGAGGAGTCAGCTTCACTGTGTGAGGCAGGGTGAGGCTAATGAACAATGGGGAAAAGGAAATATAACGCAGTGACCAATCGCCTTGATCGTCACTCTTTACTCAGAAAAACAAATATGTAATGTGACAAATAATCAACATTAGTCATTTCCGTGTTACAGGAACATCACAAAGGAGATTAAATATTGCAATGGCGTTGCTTAATATCCAGGAAGTGTTTTAATCGCACGGCTGTTTGGAAACTACAATACATGTTTGTCATCAGCATTAAAGGTTAATGCTCCACTCTAAATCTCAAGAGGAGGTTAGCATTTTCCAACCTGCCAATAATTGCTTCCGATAAAGCAGATCCAGGTCCGCCCCCACCCTCATGCTAGCCTTCACCGATGGATTTGCTCATGTAGAACAGCCACAACAAGGAGAGAAAAAAGGCCAGATGGAAAACTGCATCGCTGGTAACCTTCCAGGATTGCCTTGTCATGTTGTGTGTGTACACTATAAACATCTAAATAGCACTGCAAATCCCTCCTGCTAAGCTTCTCCATCATCATTCAATTATTTGCTTAAAAGAAAGCCATCCTGTGTCAAAAAACATTACTGTTAAAAAGACTATCGTCAAAAACAATATTCTATTTATAAGGTTTAAAGTAAAGCTATTGTTTTGCCTCATTTTTAATTACCTAATTTAGAAAAATAGTAAGGTGTATAACATAATAAGGTTTGAGGATGGTTCTTGGGTACCTAATGAAAGGTTACATTGCTCTTTAGCACAGGTGGAGTGAGATGAAATATAACAAAGGGGAAACAAAGGAAATACAACTGTTACTGTTGTACTCTTTCACAATTATCCAGATGGAACCTCGGCAATAAGCATCTCTTTGCAGTGCTTTTCAAAGATGGATGACTTCTCGTGACCTGAATGTTCTTAGAGCTGCTGACAGATGGAAAGGCCTCTGTTACTATGGTTACCATGCTCCCAGAGGAACAGAGTTATCCCTGATGGTTTGTTTTTGTTGTACCTTAAGGCAGCGAGGAGGCAGTAAAATAACACAATTATCAGATCTCTGTCTCTCTGGTAATCTTTGATCCACCTTGTGGACTGTGTGTGACTCGAGAGTGTTGCATTACAGGCTAAAGGCTGAGAAAGGGCCTTTTCAAAAGGGGACCTTGGTGTCTGTAATCTGACACCAATAAGGATGTTGGCAGTGTCAAAGTGCACCTTGTAGGACTCCATTGTACCTGTATAAAACTGCTCCACTCTTAGGCATCAGATTAAAGTCTACATGAGAAGTGATTTACAGGAGAAGTCGCTCCTAGAAAGATTTGCACATTGTGTTAAGTGTGAGTTCCTTTGCATGTTACTGATTTGTTTTACCCTGTTTGACTTTAAAAATAGGTGAGTGAGCTCAGGGTATGCTTCCACAGCAGTATCATGAGGATTATATCACGTTCAGAGTGACACACACAGACAGTGCACCTGAGACGTCTCTGAATCCATTAAATCCCTCAGACAATGGCATTGTTTTTATTGATAAAAAGGAGTAAATAGGTGTAGTCGGTTCACTAACATCTGTGTCTGGCAGGATTTAACAATTTACACTTTAAAATAATTTACGTGCAAACTAGAGTTAATTCATCTTAATCAAATTAATACAAAGCAAGTTGTCTGATCAAATTAACATCTAATGACTACTGGAAACAGCTATTTCCATCTTAACCAGCCAACCTGATCAGCTAGAGGGTCCAAAACCCCCTTAAACCAGCCTTGACAGGTTTCTTTAGGGAAACTGATATTAGCTACAGTAAATAGAAATGATCAAAAAGGGATCCTGGGAGATCTTGCATGTAGCCCATTAACTAGTTCCCTTTTTTCCATGTAAAAGTTTGAACAGGAAATGTGTTGTAACATGAAAATGACCCTGTCAACCATATCAATTATTCTCCATGTACAACACGGGTTGCATATAAAATGCAGTTGTATTTCCTTTATGTTAAACATGAAAAACATAGCAAAAACTGTTTGGAATTTCACACACACAAGTGGAATCTCTAGGGTAAAATGGCATCTTAAGGTAATATATCCAGTACAAGGGCTTAGTTTACACAATTACATGAATGTTATTCCTAGAAATATGGTTTAGAAAGTCTATTTTGGCCTAGTTCTCTACAAAAATAGCTTTATTTAATTGAGACTGCTCACACAGGCCATGCTACAGCCCTGCAGCCTGTGTTTACTTTCTCCACATCCAGACATCACAAGACCAAGAGGCTGAATGTGAGCATGAAGACAGCCCCACTGGACCCAATTAGGACAACAACGACAAATATCTCACACAAGCAACAACGCAGGCAAACATATGGCCTGAGCCAAGTCACAACAAACCTGATAAATATATAATTTGGTAACCAAAGATGTGTTGCATGCTAAATAGACATGCTACTGTCTTACACCATTTTGAGATTCACTATTACGCTAGTTTGTAATTAGCCTAATATTACCATGGTAGCCGTTGTTTGTTTTTTAAATATGGTTCCTATTTACATCAGTAGTGTAGTAGTTTTTGTATATTTCACTCCGAAATTAAACTGGGATATCATTATAATGTCTAAGAAACATTATAGGCTGCTAACAAAGGCCGAATAGAAGTGGAACCTGCAGGCCACAACCCACTTTACACAGCCCCCTAAGTTCATGATGACTAGGCTCATAAACCAACCGAAATAACGTAAAGGAAAAGTGTGCACCACCTACCTTTGAATGAATAGTATCCCGGTTTGGTGTAAAAAGCAGCAGTCTCTTTGTAGAAATAACACCTTCTTCTGTCTTCAGAGTTTACTACTACAATTTTTTTTTTACCGCAATGAGCAACGCGCTCTTCTCTTGTCTCCAAACTCAATGCGTATCGCGTTTGCTGGACGTGACGTCATTTGAAGGGTACGGCACGGAGGAGTGATCGTGGGCAATTAAAGGAGGGGATTGGTCAGGGTCGCTGTTTGTCACACAGCAGCACACTCGCTGCTCGTATTGACCAATCAGAAGAGAGAGCGATGACCAGTGGGACGTCAGGGGAAAGCGAAGACTCCTGATCCTGTGACTTGATAAAAGATTAAATCAGGCCTCCATCACCCAGACAATGACGAAATAACTAAGGTTAGTCAAGAGGGGTGACTTATAAACGTTAATCATTCATTAGTTATCAAGAAGCTTACGTCCTTTGAATTTGATTTCTGATTTGAATGAGCTAAATGGAGAATTGGAATCTACATGCCACCTTCATGTTACATAAATATATGATAATACAATATAAATATTAACAAGTGTTGTGGAGTTTTTTTATCCAACCACCTTATTGTGTTTTATTCATCACATGCACCTGTTTCTCTAAGATGCAGCAGCAGTACTATTTTTCCCCAGCAGATGTCAGACTAGTCTCAGTCTGTTCTCTGAAGTTGCTGTTGCATTATGTTGGAGTGTTGCTAAAGGTAGGGTAGGGGAGAAGGGGGTAAATTGAGCCAGTGGGTAAATGCTTGTCAAAGTACATTTTCCTGATGTCATGTCAAAAAATATATATCCAGGTTTAAACACATATATTGTATATGTTGATGTGTTGGCAGCGTATTAAACCATGTGAATCATTAAGCTAAAGATGACTGAATTGTAATGCTAGGCTATTTTTTCTAAAATGGTGGCTATGGGGTAAAGTGAACCATGGGCCTTGGGGTAAGTTGAGCCAGTTTTTCAATGGAGAAATGAATGAAAGTAGGCCAAGTTGATAATAAGAGCTCATATAGGCTACATTTAAAGTTGAATTTACAATGTGTTTGATTGGTAAGATGTATGAAATTGTATCACCATTTGTATGATTACTTTTCCTTTTAACATGTTAAAAAAAATCAATCAATTCAATCGAAATTTATATTAAAAATATTTGAAAACTAAACTTGTATTTGGTTTGTTATTTATTGTTTAAAGTTACCTTTAAGATTTGTTGTAGGTATGCCCAGGTTTGAACAGGTATGCCCAGGTTTGAACAGTTGTTCAATTTACCCCCTGACCTGGATCAACTTACCCCTAACCCGGGGCAAGTTGAGCCACAAGACTTTTTTTTTTTAAGAAGTAATATTTTCACTGCCCTTGATCAAATATTAATTATTATCATTGCCATTGATAGGAGACATCCTGAATTATGGCTCAACTTATCCCACTCTGCCCTATGTTATATGCGCAGTAACTACTCTGCACACATTTGAGTACGTATGCGGGTCTATGTTGTATGTGTGCAGGGGNTTCCTGCCTCTGACACCAGTGTGTGTATGTAGGACTTCAGATGATAGTACGTGTATGTATATATATATATATATTAGGGCCGGGACTTTAACGCGTTAAATTAACGCGTTAAAGTCCCGGCCCTAATATATATATATATATACATACACGTACTATCATCTGAAGTCCTACATACACACACTGGTGTCAGAGGCAGGAAATGTGATCGAGTGACATCCTTGACAGTTTGGTGTCACAATGTTCTGTGATCCATAAAAATAATTCCATTAATAAGTTCAACATTAACCTGGTTTATAACCTCCTTCTGTGTCTGCCCTGCTTTAGTTGAGACAAGACGAGTACATAGTGAAAAAAAGGCTCTTTTTAAAATGGCATTTTAAGAATTCACCTGAATGCAACAATTTATGATTAATAATTAATTAACCTTAATCATGGATCTGTAATCATAACCAGATATATATGTAATTGGCTCCCTACCTAGAGCTGCAACTAAGGACTAGTTTCTTAATCAATTCAATAAAAGTCAATTAAATGTCACAACTTTCCTCCACAGGGTGACCAATTTAAATGTCTTATTAGGTCCAAAAAACACATTAAAAAAGCCACAATTAATTATATTTATCATGTAATAAAACGGAGAAAAATCTGCACACTAACATTTTAAAAGCAGGAATTGGATAAAGAAAACATTTTTGCCTGATAATTGACTGAAACGATTATTCAATCATTAACATAATTAATTCCTTAGAGTTTTTGCCAGTGGCTCACCTTTGGGGCTCATAAGTGTAGCTTCAGTGGCTTTGCCTCCGTCCCCGCAGCGCTCATCAAATGGCAGGCACTGCTCCCCAGTCCCAGCTACCACCTCTGCATTGTCCGACAGCAGGCGGCCTCCCGTTAATGAGCGCACGCGATAAATTCTGCGCGAGTTAGTGTCCGAGATGAACAAAGCCCCAGATACTGGATCCACTGCCAGGAAGTACTTATGGGTCGGGTTGTTACTAAAGGCGACATGAAAAGAAAACGTGATCAGTGAAAAGATTGATTTTATATGAAGAACTTTTTCATTGTTAACTTTTCTTTTATAGTTGTAAGGATCTTACCTGTGTCTGAAATCTTTGTTCCTTTGAGGAAGGAAGCGAGACAAAAGCACAACAAAAACACATTTTAATTCACACAGTCTGCGGAGAGCAACCTACAGAGAGCAATACAAAGCTGGCTATGGTGTGAACAACAGCATTTAGCCATGGGTAAAAACACCCTGGAGAAAATCTAGTACATTTCCATCCCCAGTGTGTCACTTACTTTTTTTTCATAGAGGATGCAATCCTACATGTTCAATGTACTGAAAATATCTATTTTCTCCCTCTGCGTCACCTGTCATCTTACTTTAATCCAACCAGCCCATCCATCTAAAAACGTGTAAGCTTTCTAATGATTATACCTTAATTCCAGGATGCCAGTTGTGTTCATAGATGGGTAGACCCTTCGCACAAAGTTGAGATCCCCGACATATATGCTACCATCGGTGCCCATTGCCAAGGCGACCGGTGCCAGCAGCTTGTTGCCGTCTGCCAGGCCGTTACAGCTGGGGCAGGAGATACTGCGCCTCCGTCCGTTTCCCATGACGCTGAGGACCACCGGGGGCTGCTCGGTCACGAAGATGTTCTCACCACTTCCCTTGTGAAGGATGCCTGGACAGGGTAGAGGGTGGAGAGAAATAAGAGTAGATTCAGGATCATCATTTCAATTAGATGATCTGTGGTAACACTCAGTTAGAGCAATAGAAGCTGTATCTCATATCTCAACATTTAGAGGGAGTGCCAATAAATTATGTAAAGACAGTAATGGTCCCCGAAGAATTATATCTAATAACTTTGATGGTCCCCTGAACTTTAATCTCAAATTGCCTTTAGGTTGACATTTGTGTGAGCAGATAAAATGTCTCAAAAACTATTGGATGGATTCCTGTTAAATTTGGTGCAGACTTTATGTCCCCCTTTAATAACTTCAGTTTTTCGTCTAGTGCTATCATTAGGTCTAACTTTGTATTCGTCAAATACCAAACTAATGACATTCCCACCATGTTCTGTATTCTTTTCCTCAAGTGCAAGCTAAACTACGATGGTAGACATTAAACTTTCCAAATATCAGCCAGTTAGCATTGTTATTGTGAGCATGTTAGCATGCTGATGTTAGCTTAAATAGCTGCTAGCGTGGCTGTAGGCTCTTTATAGCCAAATATATATATTTTATTGAGGCTCACAAGCAGCTGATATTGTATATTTTTTATTTAACATCAGCCCTTTTGATAGCCAAAGTAAAACAGTGTACAATTCACCTTTTTCAGGAAAAACGTAATTTTATTGTAGAGCTGGTAAAGGTAAAGAGGAAGGCTTGGCTTCATTTCCCCCACTTCTAAAAATACCACCAATGGTTCTTCAGTTGTGTCCATTCCATTAGCGAATTGATTGTCACAGCAGGTGAACATTGGTGCATCAGCCCATTGATATTGCCCTGCTTTTTAGTATTACTGCGCAGAGTGTAGATAATGGTATGTTAGATGATGCAACAAGAATGGCTCCCCCTCGCCTAGAAATAAGTTTCTGGAAAACGTACATTATCTCTGCTCCCCCACCCTCCTCCACTTCCCTACCCCCTGCCTTTGTTTCAGTAGCTTTCGCTAATTGATTGGTGACGGGGCACATGTTTACTAGGTTGGGCTGGCTTGGATGAGGGTTTCAAACTAGGTGAGACAACTCAAGCATTTCCTGTGAAAATCCACACCAACAGGTAAAAAGAGGCTCTTGGCAATTGCATGTGAACCACAGGAAGCAAACAGACTTACCTCCTCCCCAAGACAATAGCACGTTTAGTGAGATATACATACTGTAAACATGTTCAACACGGGGGAATGACTAAAAATACATTTGAAGTAAAGCATGGAAAAATATGTGCTTTGCTTATTAGTGAGGGAATATACGGGCGTGTGTGAACGTACCACTGCGTGTGTTGAGTATATGATGCTTGTCGAGTGACCAGCCGCCCAGACCGGTGGGATCCAGTTCGTAGCCTTGCAGAAGGGCTGTCCTCTTCTCCCAGAGGATGAGATTGGCACAGGACTCGTATTCATAGCCCACAGACACTACATGTAGGAAAGGATACAGGTGAGAGGAATAGATGAAAAAAGAGGTGAGTATCAGAGAATACATACAAATGAACAACCCAGTCTCACGGCATTTCGTGTTATACTCACAAAATTAATTTAATCTATTGATTCGTGTTCACCAACACGATTTTCGTTTCGTGTCACACAGGACAATATTAAAAGCAATGTATTTCTATTGGTAGTATGTTTCGTGCCTGCACCACGCCATTTTGTCCGGTCGGGTCTTGGAAGACCAGAAGTTGTGTGGTTCATAAACACATTTTCTTACTCAATATCTTACCCTAACCCTATCCCTTTTATTTTAAATTGTATAATGTTGGAGTTTTTTTGCTGTCGGCAAGGAAAATAAATGGGGCTCAGAGCCTCAGAATACTGAAATCTGTATTTTTTGTCATCTTTTTTTCCTTCTAATTTGTTATTATTTGGTGCAGGCACGAAACATACTACCAATAGAAATACATTACTTCTAAAATCGTTCTGTGTCAGAATACTGAAATTTGTATTTTTTTTTATCAGTTTTTCCTTCTAATTTGTTATGATTTACATTGCTTTTAAAATGGCGAAATTGTGTTGGTGAACACAAATCAATAGATTAATTTTGTGACTATAACACGAAATGCCGTGAAACTGTGTTGAAATTAAACAGGAGGCGAGGATGTGCAAAACTTGATCAATCAGAGCCTATCCTCCTAAGGTAATTTAAGTTGTGAGTTGACGTGTGATACATAGAGAAGCTAGTTAGCACCTGTACCGAAATCTGCACTCGCACCTAACTAACACTCTCACAAGCTGCTAAATCAATTAAAAACCTTGTTAATTGGGCAGATTAGCCGCGCAGGCCTTAAATGTGCAGGCCGTGCCGTTTGCCAAGAAGTGAACCCTGATGCACATGACCGAGCTGATTTGGCTAAGTGTACAAAAAAAGGAACATTTGTTATGATGACAAGTTAAGACATTTTTTTTGCGGATACGTACGTTTATTGTACTGTATGTGTTCATGCATGTGTTCGTTGTTATGTTTAAACTTGTTAAAACGAAATGTGTGTTAACACATCAACTCCCACCTGAGTTACAGTGAGAAATTGTTGCCAGCACATTTTCAGCTTTACTCCAAACAATAATGTATTATACCTGCATCTGTATCCAAGCTTAGCAAGACATAACTTAATTGTAAACAATGTATTTGATTCGAGAGCTTTGAGAAACGTCAAATTTACAGCTACTCTAGAGAAGTATGGGATCTTTGAGTGAATGTAATTTCCCAAACAGTGTGTCCCTGTTGATTTTACTCCACACTGAGGTCCCAGATGGCCACTGCATCTGTGGCCTGACAGCGGTGTTTGGCTGACAGCATCTGTGAGCGACTGTGACAGCAGAATGTAATAGCACTGGGGCTCCCCTGGACCCATGCTAGATGTTCCAGCAGCTAACTGCTAACTCACCCTGATGGCTAATAACCCTTCACCACAGTTACGGCTGGCTGAATGAACCAATCGCGGCTTCAATGAAAAATAGACGTATGAGAAAAAACAAAAGGCACTTAACTGTGACTACTTCCTAATGGATGGAAGCCGGGTTTCTGGCGTATTAACTCTCCTACAGGCTCCCTAATTAGCCCTCTCTCTCCCTTTGTCATAGCCAGTGCTGGCTTACTGGTAAAGTTTCTAGTCAACTGGAAAAAAATACAAGCACTTATAACTGCTTCTCTTCTGTCCACCCCTTAAAACTCACGGATGGATCACTGAACAGATCTCGTCATCATGTACAGGCAAACAAAGTGTCAGGCCCAACCCTTTAAAATAAGACACATATCAACTAGCAATTGAACCAAAATGTCCTAATAGTAACATTACAATTATCTCAGAGACACAAAAGGGTTTCAAAGACTTAAACCAACTACAAAGCAACTACAAAGAGACACAAAATGACCACAAAGAGACTTAACAACTAAGATGTGCAAAATGACAAAAAGGGGTACAACAACTACAGACAAAAAACTACAAAAAGACAAAGAAAATAATTACATTTGAATAAAAAATTAACACAGATAAAGTAAAATGAGATCCAAAAATGTTTCACAGGGACAAAAGTTGATTACAAAGCTACAAAAATAAACAAAGGGGCTTAAAGAAACTAAAAACTACAAAGTAAAACGACAAAATGAAACAAAACTGACCACAAAGACACAAAAGTTATTTGTAACATGTACGAAGAGAAACAAAACAACAAGTGTCTAAACAGCTTTAAAGTGGGTGGTGGGAGCTTTTGTATATCTGTGGACAGAGCCCATTTGTCTCATAATCTGCCAATGCTTCCACTCACCAACAGCTTGAGATAGCCCGTAGACCCTCTGCCCATATGCGTCGGTCTTATCCCAAATGTAGGTGTAGGCCAAATTGGGCGAGGCATGGAACCACTTCTGGAAAAGATGGCCCTCCACTGCTACCATGAGATGAACCTTCAGCAGGCCCATGGACACCACCGCTGGGGTCATGGTCACCTTGAGCAGGGAGCGGTAACCCTGAGTCCTGGAGCTTAGGTAGCACAGCTTTAGACTCGAGCCGGGCACCTCGATCAGCTCATGCAGCACCTGGAAGACAAAGAGAGAAGATGACAGGGGAGGGGGATTAGGCGGGATTAGAGAGAGAGGGAGTAATGGGGGTCACGCTTCCACTGACGGCTGAAGGACAAAAAAGGGGAAAAAACAATGGAAGAAATAAAGAAAAAGAAAAAGAGAAAGAGGGGAATAAATGGGGGGGGGGGGGAGCTATGGAAGTGAAAGAGAAAGAGAGGAGATAGAAAGGAGAGTGGGAAGAGAGTGAGGGAACCAGAAGGGAGATTAGCCGGCTGCCAGAGGTCAGTGGTACTGCACCTGTGTCTCCGGTATGATGGGTTTCTCCCCTGGCTTGGAGCTGAAGAAGGAGGAGAGAGGGGATGCAATCACAAGAGGGTCAGGCCTGACGAAGCCGCTCAGGTCACAGCCCGGGATCGTGTTCTCTTCTGTCTTAAGCACCAGAGTGTCCATAGCATAAAACTGGCTCCAGGGCAGCCACACGGTGCGCTCCTGGCTCAGGAAGGGGGCGCGCTCGAACCGCAGAGTCAGTGACGCACCACCGTTAGCTATCAGGTCAAACCTGGAGAGGTTTAAAAGAGGATGGGAATGAGGTACAGATGGGGACGTGTTGTGGTGGACGAACATTGGACTGTCAGTGTTTCTAGTAAAGGCTAAACTCCACTGCTTTAATTTAACAACAAAACGAAAGAATTGTACAAAAAACTTTAGCTACACATATAGAAAGACAGTCTAGACAACAGTTAAAGGTCTGAAATATAAATAGCACTCAAGAACACTGGTCTCATTGTGTAACCGATTGTATTAGATGCTCTTTAACTTTTTGTCTCCGAATGATGATTAACAGCTGTAGGGTAATGATTAGAATAGGAAAAAGAAGGTTGTAAATGGCCAGAGCTTTTTAAGTGTGTGGACTCGCTGCTGCCTCCAACCACTGCAAGGAAATAACACTCATCAGAACTAAACAAGGTCAGACAGGGACATGAGAACATGTGCATTCAAGTCATAAGTCTCTGAAACTGGTTAGTAACTGCCCCTGAAATGCAAATGTAATTAAATGTTACAAAAGTTCAGATGTTTCAGCGGCAGCTCGGCCTAAGTGGAAGAAAATGCTGCAAGGAAAGCGTAGGTAAGAGGAGGAGACCTGAGACAGGAAACACAGAAATTGTACATTTAATGAATAGGGTTCAGCTTAAAGCACCAAAGAAACACATTTTCAAATAACATGTTACGGGTGCCAGCCAGACTTTAAATTCAATAAAACTTGTAGGGGAATATTGGACAGAAAAGTTAACTTGAAGCAGCATAAAACTCCCCTGAAATGGAGCTCCTGCAGGAGAAATGGAGAAACATGTCAGGTGAGATACCCAAATGTGGTCAGAAGGTGGATATTAAAGCAAAGAGCTGCGGTACTTAAAAATCCAATTTCAAGGTTGCTTTTCAGTTTTGCTTTAAAAGTTTATTTGACGGCCTGTCATTCACTTTCACATATTAAAACATGTTTATTTCAAGTGAAACTTCTGCTGTTATAAAACCTGAGATAATGCCTTATTAATTATAAATAATAACGTTTTTTTTCCAGCAATTATTCTGACTGGTTCACAATATTGTATTATTTATAGTGTTTTTTATATTTCTTGAACATTTTACCCATTGTTTTCATTCAATATTTCTTTCCGTTATGATTCTTATTAATATATTTTCACTTAGGATATTGAGTTTTGACTCCCAGTTGTGTTGTTCTTGTAAATACATTTCCTCTTCTCTTACTCAAAATCCCCTTTCTTCGCTGTATCTAATTATCTATTGCTGTAACAGCCAAGATTCCTCAAGGGATTATTATTGTTTTCTAATCTAATCTAATCTAATCAAATCAAATCTAATCTAATCTAATAATAACGCCTATGTGGTGAGGTAGATTCAGCAAGGAGCGCTGGGTAGCTGTTGTACATACATTCCATCCTGCCGTGTCAGCGTGTATCCGTAGTGGGGATAGTTGACAAAAGACACGTTCACCCCAACCAGAGGGGTTCCATCTGTAGTCAACACCTGACCCCGGATCAGAGATGCCAAACTGAAAGGAGACAGAAGAGACAGAGTGAGAGAGCGATAGTCAGCCCAATCTTCCTAACCATCCATCATCTGGTTTGATTAATCTCACCATCTTTCAATCATCCAATTTGCCCATTCATTGCTCCGGTCTTCCACCCCTCATTAATTAGAAACAATCAGCAAACTCCGCCATCTAGATTAGCTCTTGTCAATCATGTACACAAAACATGACAATGTGGGATGTGTGTGTATGTTTGCGTGTGACTGTGTGCCTTGGAGAACTGCCACATATAGAATAACATATAACTTCACTTTGATGAGCTTTCCTTTGAAACATCTGATGTAGGCGTGTGTAAATGTGTGCAGACAAGAATCAGCCCCATGGACAGCGCTTCACAGCTCTGCTAAATCTGCGGGGAGATCTTGGCTCGGCCCTGCTTTGGCTCTGGGATTTGATAGGACCTTGGCGGGCTCTGTGAACCATTCTAAAGTCTATTTGATATTTACGTCATTGGATCTAAAGTTGTGCTATTTTTCACCGCATGCATTTACTCGTATGAATGTCAGTCCTTCGCGGAGCATCAAAGCGGCAATATTCTAAAACATGCAATCTCACAGGCATAGACCCCTTTAACATGATTGGCCAGCATGAACATGACATACATACATTTTCCTAGTGCGTACATCAAATATATGTCCAGCTTTCTAGCTAAATATAGCACCATGAATCCTAACGTGGTTTTCTTGCCATACCTGGAGTTGAAAGGGTTTTCCCCAGGGAGGATATGGGTGCTGTCCCGTCCCACGAGCATCTTGACGCGGTCGTAGAAGGAGCGGACGCGTGGCTGGGACAGGGGGTTCTGCTGGATGACCAAGAGGGGGTCCCGGGAGCCGCGGCACAGCGGGCTGTTCTGGCAGGGACTCTGGATGCAGCAGTCTGGGTCCATGCAGTCTGTGAGTCCATCTGGGAGAGCAGTAACGAGGTTGTGGTGTGAGAATAGCAAGGAATGCAAAAAAAGCTACTGCCAACTTTTTCCATTCCTGATTGAATATTTTGATAATCTTTGATTATTTCGTAAAGGAAAGATTGTTATTGGCATTCATAGTGAGAGCTCTTCTCATTAGCTCTCTATATTAATTGAATTGGTTTTATGTAGGAACTATTTTCTTTCTCCTAAACTACACCTGCATACGAGTAAGCACAGGTCCAAGAGTATATTTATGCTGCCTTGTACACAATGATATGAGTTACTGCTGAGTCTGGGCAAAACATCATCCTTTTCAATTGATCCTATAAGACAATTGAGAGAAATTGGCATAAAAAAACATATTAATGACTGAGTTATGGACAAAAATGTGTTTTGTGAGGTCACACTGAACGTTTAACTGGACGTTTGTGGCATGTTTGAAGACATTTTCTCAAGGCTTTCCTCAGATATTGAGTTGGTGGTGTGGACGCTAGAGGCATAAAATAGTTCCTACATGAAACCGCTCACAGGCTCTGTGGATTATGTGGAGCAACAAGGTCAGAATTTCTGGAAAAAGACATAGCTGTTCTTGAAGTTATTTATTTGGCCCTTTTTATCTAGTTGCATTATATTTGAGGGAAGGCAGCCATCTCCAAGGCTGATATTGCCAACAGTTGGCAACTCACACTAAAGAAATCTACATTGATAAATAGCTCTCCAGGCTATATATGTATTTTGGGTCAAATTGTCCCTTTAAGTGATGCCTGCACTTAACACTTTCATCTCAAATGTTCTCCTGCTCCCCCCATATTCACCTCCTTCGTTGTCCTTGTTGTCGGCGCAGGAGGTCTCCATGGCAACACTGCATCCTGGGCCCCTCCAGCCTGTCTGGCATTCACAGTGCCAACTCTGCTGTCCCATGGTGCACTGGCCGTTCCCGTTACACAAGTTAGGACAGCCGTCTGCGAGGAGAGGACATGCGGATAGAGGGGGAGGGAGGTAAGAAGGGAGGAGAAGGGGGGAGGGAGGGAGGGGTGGTGGGTAAGAAGCAGGGTGATGCTTGTTTGTTTTATCACTGATGATGCACAGGCGAGCAGACATTCGTCCAAACACACAGGCGCTCTCATGTGGTTATGATAGACCAATGAGTCTCACGCAATTCAATAAGCACGTTGTAGCATATTGTAAATATCGATTGTTCAAAACGTCTATTCAATTCAGCACGTTCGATTTTCATGCACATCCCATCCGCATGTCTCTGCGCCCTTTGGGATGGCAGTGTGTGTGTGTGTGTGTGTGTGTGTGTGTGTGTGTGTGTGTGTGTGTGTGTGTGTGTGTGTGTGTGTGTGGAAAGAACTCTTGATTCACTTACTTGATGGAGCCCCACACCATCATCACACTCTCTCTCTTACTTATGATTCAGTGTAGGTAATGGGATTCTGATGGCCTGAGAGTAATGCTTTCTCATGAGAGAATGGGATTATGTTTGATAGTGTGTGTGTGTGTGTGCGCATGCGTGTGTGCCGTGGCAGTCTATGAACTAATAAACCTTCACATTAGATTATGCAAAAAGCTCTACCAGAATCTGAGGCCCTGGAGCCAAGAAAGTTCTGTAACTAGCATAGCAAGGCCACCCACAACTCCAGAGCGACTTTAAGGCGAGGAAAAGCAGACATTTTAAGGGCATCTGGATAGGGAAATTTGCAATTATAGAAGACAGTGCCATCTTGAGAAATTACTATCTGGTAGCTCCTGGTTGGTTGAAATGGTGATTTTTTCTTTTTCAAAGAATAGCTTGACATTTTGAGGAATACGCTAATTCGTTTTTGCAAAGTGTAACGTGAGTTTAGCTTAGAATAAAGGCTAGAAGCAGCTAGCTTGGCTCTGTTTAAAGGGCACACAATTCACCTCACAGCACCAATGAAGTGTGTAGATTTTCTTTTGCTTAGGTGTCTAAAGAGGTGTTAAAAAACTTAAATGTTATGGTTTTACTGGGAATAAGAATGTTAGGGACTACATCCTAGCTAGGAGCAGTGACCTTGTTATATTTGTCAAATGTAACCAGCAGAGATTTTAAGAGGTTTTTGTGCCCGGTCAAGACTATGTCCCAAACACTAACTTACTGTTCACATATTCTCATTTTTACAGTTAAGACAAGGGCCAAGCTAGCTGTTTACACTTGTTTCCAGTCTTTAAGCTAAGCTAACTGGCTACGGGATCCAGCTAAATACTGAATTTACAGATATGACAGTAGTATTCACCTTCTGAGGTAACTCTATGTAGGAAGTGTATATTTCTTTAAGACAACCCCTATTTCTAATCTTGATCTAAATAAGGTGTCCTTGGATTTTCACGGTGTTCATCACACTTGGCGGGGGTTTTGTTTACGTCTTAAGGAAGTGTAGTGCGAGCTCATTTATTAGTAGTCACTGTGTAGTGTATAGAGAAGGACATCATACCGTTAAACCGCTGAAAGGCATGCTGGGTACAGACTTCTGTAGCTAGCTTATTAGAGTTCATTCAGACATGTAAAGACAGAGAGACAGGCACTTTTCTGAGGGACCATCATTCGACGAAATTGGTTCCTTTTATCCTCTAAATACCAAGAGATAAGAACTTTTGTTTATAAAAGCTCACTGACATTTTTTTTTTAATAATTTGCATTCACGCTGAGACACTGTTGCACATCGATGTCTTTTAAAAAAAAACTTTATCCCTGGCCTTCCAATTTTCCCATTTTGCTTTAAATTCAAAACTTTTAGCATTCACCAAGTCTGTGTGTTTGCCACATTATAATCAGGGAGAGTCGGGGGAAAAAAGGCAAAATGACACACAATGACAATGTTTTCTCCAGCAGCACAAAGAGCCTCTAACAAACTTGTCACAGTGATTTCCTCCTCAATAAATGAAGGAGCAGGATGCGACACTCTTAAGTCTACCCACGGGATATGGAGGCAAAGGCAGGGTTGACTGATAAAACAATACGTGCATGCACGCAAAGGCACTTACTAAAAAACACAAACACACACACTCACAGACACACACACACCCAGCACGACGCACCCTAGAGATATTACCTGACATTTCCCACTCAGTAGTAGTGTGCTGACACAGATTGAGGAAGGACAAAATAACCCAGCGAGAGATTATGAATATGAAATGCTTTTCATTGAGTCCCGCTCAATAGATTAATGAACATGTTTTCACTCAAGTTGCTCTGTAGGATTTTGCCCTCTAACAAATCGCTGCATCAATAAAGCCATGCATTATGAATACAAATAGTGCAATCTAAACCGTGGCAGCGGCTAAATTAACAGGCATTTCACCCCGATTGGCATTTTATCATACGTCTCAAGCACCAGGCGATGAGGGAAAGTCAACAGAGGACTTTGAGAAAGACGCCATCTTGTTTGAACTCCTAAGAAAAAGGGAGGAGGGGGGGCAGAGAAGCTTAACCACGTTTTTCAGCTCAACAAGACGAATCAAATCAAAGGTTTTTATCTTTAATTATGACCATTTTCTGCATCAGGGGACTGCTCACAACGCTGTATTAACAGTCAGGCTGGAATAGATTGTCCCCAAGTATTGAGCTCGGGGAACAAAGGCAGTTAGCAGTGATTGCCTGTTAAATGGAGTTGCCATTTAAAGCAACCAAATACTTATGAAGCACCCGGACAGGACAATCTATAGCGGGCATTGATCGGCTTGCCTGGGCAGGCCTGACACAAGACTCCTCTCTCTTTAATGCCAGGGCCCAATCAATACCCGCTCATGCTAACTAGAATAAAGTGGGATTTCAGAAACTATTAACTCCACCCTCCTCACTAATGTAGTTGGACTCTGATAAAATCCCCTTGAAAAGGAGAAGAAATTGCCTTGGGTTATGGGTCAGCACACACACTCTGGTGCGGTGTGTGTCGGGGTGTATGACTGGATAAAGAAAGATACCGCTGCGAGGGAGGAGTGAGATAGAATGAAAACTTATAGCATGAAAGAAGACTTTGAGCTAAAAGTTCCAACATATTTTCCAATTCCCCGTGTTTCCAGCTTTGTCTCCTCTAAAGGTCATGAAGTAAAGGTCACTGCCATAAATCCAGCTGCCTAAAGATGGACCAGATAACGCCGCACTTCCTCGGATAAACCTCCACTCATCCACTCCTCCGGTTCCTAATGAGCTACCTTGGAAATGATATTGATTACTTTACCCCTCTGCTTCCCTTTGGCTCCATGCGTTCTTCTTTACTCTCCCTCTCTTGTCTTGCTCCCTCTTTAACCCTGCGATTTACCTTTTCTCTGGGCTGGCTCTTCATAAAACAATGAGAGCTATTCCATTAAGTGTAGAGGGTGAGAGGACACTCTCAACGGTGCTCGGGGGACCTGTACTGTCAGGCAATCTGTGCCGCTCTGTGTAACCCGACAGAAGTTCACCTGCGAGGCTATCTATTAAGCATTCCTGCCGTGCATTTGGGACAACTTACCCTAGCACCTTTCTCTGTTTGGGTTCATGTTTAACCTTACCCATGATTCTGTGTATCTTTATGCGATCTTACTTAACTGTTTTCTTTATCTGGGCTTACATTGGATGGTATGAGTTTAATGAAAAGATAGAGAATCTGGAATAGTGCGCTGAGTCAAGCTCACACAATCAAACACATACATACTCACCGAAAATAAATGTATAAACTGCTCCACCATTGCTGGGAATGTTGCCACAGATACCCAGATGTACACACACTTTTTTGACACCATATTAAGGCGTTGCATCAGTGGCCTATGAAATTTGCCAATTACCTCAAAAGTTCTTTAAGGCTTTTACCGTTTTCCCCTCATGTGAAGCAGCTGTGTTTACGCGAAACATGACTGGAATACCTGAGCAGAGTTATGTGTTTGTGTTTCAAATTTGGAAAATCTAGAGCTCACACACACACGCATGCACATCCACACACTCACAGCACAGCCCCTCAATATTGCTGATACCACACTAGGCTCTACGGTACCCCACAACACATCTAGGCTCAATGACAGCTGGCCCCCGCTGCAGCGCACTGCTGTAAGGGGGGGGTGCGCTGCAGCGGGGAGTCGTCATTGAGGCTGGCACCCTCATCTACAGACAGTTATCACCACAGAGTCTACAGAGCCAAGCCAGGCCGAAACCCACAAATGCAGCAGCTAGCTTCTACCACCACAGGCTAAGAAACAAAACACCAGAGTCAGATACGGTACCTGCTTTGTCTACCATGCTCCCATGGTCTGCAGTGGGAGAAAACATGCAAAAGGTAAGAGATGGGGAGAGTATTTCTTTTTCAATAAATGCAAGCAACATCATGCAGAGCTGAAATGAACAACAGGCAAGCTGAGATAAGCTAACACCGACAGTGTCTGGTGCTAGTGAAGTGTACTTTGCGCCTAGCTGGAGCCTGACAACTCTTTCATCTTGGGCTGATGCTGCAGTCAAAGCTGCCCTACTTTCTGATGGGGGAACGGGGAGATCATAAACTGCTGTTCCCCTGTGCGTATATATGTGTTGGCGTGCGTGCACGTTTACATGTGCTGCAGTGCGGTGTTTGTTTGTGTGTGTATCACATTGCACTCACAGTGTTTGTGGTGACAGGGAGACTTTGTCTCTCAAAGCAATGTGGGTGAATCAAAGGAATCTGGCACTCATCCATCCGAAGTGACAGTGATGTCAGAATGAGACGAGGTGATTGACTGACATTAAAGACACTCGCACATACTGGCAACACTGTGCGCATGCACACACGCACACACAAAATGCATTGGAGATATTTTTGGATCACAGTGAGGTGAAGAGTTTTATCTTTCATCCAAGTTACTTTGGTGTTACAAATGCCAAATAAGCTGACATTCCTGGGTTGTGCAGTTGAGAGGCAACCCATAAGCGCCTAAATCTTGCTATATTGTAAACCTAACACCCCCACTTTTATGGTGTTTGCGCCTCTCCTCTCTGTTCGCCCACCTCCTATGTCACTCATCTTCTTCAAATGTCCCCTTTTGCCTGTACTTTTCCAGATTTCTTTTAACAAAGTGTAAAGGAGCTGCCAGTTTGTTCTGACTGGGTTTTCTGTGCCCACACACACACCTCCAGTTGACACACAAATGTGGGCGCTTACCTATGGTGCAGTGCTCTCCGTTCCAGCCCTGGTGACACTGGCACTTGCCGTCCTTGCAGGTTCCGTGTTTGATACAGACCGGGTTGCACACACGCTGGTCGCAGCTCGCGCCCGTCCAGCCCTCCTCACAGCGACAAGCTCCGCCCATACACACTCCGTGGGTGCCACAGTCCACTGAGCACACCTCTGAAGGAAGAGAGGAAGATCTGGGTCACAAACATTGTTCTGGGAATCTAAATATTAGGAGATTGGGGAAGAGGAGCCGAGTTCATGTCAATTAATACATAAATACTTTTCGTGTTTAGCACTGCAGTAACACCATGTATTCAAACCTTTCTGCATTTTGTTATTGTATGTTGAAATGTATAGATTACTCTATGATTATATATACTCAGTAATACGGCTATATATATATATATATATAGCTAATTTTTGGTAATATATGTGTATAAAAGTGCCTAAAGCAGCAAAAAAAAGCCACAACAATCAAACCCCCATACACTCCACAAAAATACAATGCTAGACCTTCAATTTAAATCAGTGATAATATTTTTGTGAACACCGCATTTATTTAGTTTCTTTCCATTACAGTCAAAGTTTGGGGGATGTAGATGTTGCAGGGAGCGACGGTGCATGTTTATATGTGTGACACAACCCCGCCCATGTATTCAGGACCCCCGGTGTGCGGGGAAATGTAGTACGTACAGATGTTTTGATGCACACTTGCTGAGAGATCCTGCAGCGAGGAACAATGTTGTCTTTATTAAAGCTAAGCATTTATTTATTTCGTAAAAAAATACTCCATCTTTGTTTGTGATCCTGACAAAGAGAAGCAAGACATGGTGGGGGACGCTGTCTGTCTTACAGCAGCTCAACAGCTTTATTTTATTGAGAAAAAGAATCCTAAAAGTTAAATATTTCATTATAAAAGGCATTTCATAAGCAATGTCTTTTTAGTTTTTCTAGGGAATTATGAGCCTCATGCACAGGAAGTGACTGCAGATGAGCTCCATTTTCCTCTTGTCCCCGACACAGACTTTATTAACTCAATTTATATATAAAAGAAAATATGGAACTGTTTATATACTCGATGAAGGTCGAAGAGCAATTGCAATCAAACAAATAGTTTAGCAGGAAGCAAGACAGTGTGCTGGAGTTCTTCTCATTGTCACAGTCAGGTGTGCAAAGACTTTTTCAAATGACCTCCATTAGTCTAACATCACTTCATTTGCTCCCAGGGCAATTCAAAGTCAATGTCAAAGTTATAATAAAAAATAATAATCTATAAAGCTCATAATAGTTTGGCTCAAGAGAGCATATTTTACTACAGTCCAATCAGACCTCCAGCTAATGTATAGCCTGATGACCTGCTGTGTTGTTTAAAGTACAATTAAGATTGTGGATTTCTATTATCTGCTGTGTGTGTGTGTGTGTGTGTGTGTGTGTGTGTGTGTGTGTGTGTGTGTGTGTGTGTGTGTGTGTGTGTGCGGGGGCTTGGTGCGGGGGTGTGTTACATGTTCGCTGGTGTTGTATGTGGGTGGTTATTCTTTAGTTTTTTTCCCCCTTTGTTGTAGCTTTTTTTTCTTGCACTCACATTCTTTTATACAATGTTGTGACTTTCATGTGACGCCCATTGCAATGGAATGTGCTTTATGCAGCTTGAATTGCCCATCATGCATTTCTGGATGCTACCCTGATAATCATAAAAAGCTGTCATAACCATACTGGCCCTGACGATGATGATTGTACTTAGCATTGACACTAAAGTCCCACTAGTCACATTTTGTTCCTGTTAGCAATTTGGCTAAGATAATGCAACAGTTGCTCCAACCCATTTCACAGCAAGTTGTATTGTTTGTGGTTTTGTACATTTCATCCAGACCAAACCATATCAGCCTTGAGTAAAAAGCTAAACTAATTAGCCATGTATCCTAGGGGACCACACAACATGTTGGCAAAATGGGAAGTCAGAATCAGTTTTCGCTTAACTGTGACGCCCAGACTCTTCTTTTTTTACTCTGCTCTACTGCAGTCCTACTTACCCATAGAGCAGTCGGGTCCCATCCAGTTAGGGTCACAGCTGCAGAGCCCGGTGTCCGGTATGAAGGCCCCGTGTCCGTGGCACTGGTCTGGGCATTGGGCCCTGGGCAGCTCGCAGTGAAGCCCCCCCCAGCCCGGCTTACAGTGGCACTCCCCATTCACACAGATACCATTGTTGGAACATGTCGGATCCAGGCAATCCACTGCATCACGCCACACATACGCCCATGTGAAAAAACAAACAGGGGAAAACAAAATAAACAAAAAGCAATGCAGTCTGGACAAATCACATCGGAGACATACATTTAATACGTTTGAACTTTTGACAAAGGACATACTTTCAGTCTTTGTGTACACAAAATGATAGTAAAACAAAAGAGAACGCTATCAGACATATTGCTAAGCCAATTAAAGTGACCAATAATGAATAGCTGAGGCTATAATTGGGGCATGTCAGCAAATGTGTTCCACTCTGAAAGTGCAGCGAGGCTCGCCGACACATTATTCGGTGTGAGCGCTCGCATGCGTGCATGAGCGTGCGCGTGCATTAGTGTGTATGCGTGAATGCGCTAATACATAGGGGAGAATCTGACACTGCCAGTCTGCCAGGTTGACAGGCAGCTCTGAGTCCGAGCAGTGAGTGAAAACCAATTTGACAAATTACCTCCTCCCGGCAAAGAGCCCACCCATCCCTCTCCGTCCCGGTCGCTCCCACTTTTCTCTCCCTCTTTCTCTCTCCTCATCCTCTTTGTCTGACACCTCTCTCACCCCTCCTCCTCCTCAGGCATGATTAACCCCTATGCACATACACACATGAAATCACGCGCTCGCACATAACCTCGGCCCTCCGTTTCTGTTTGCCTGGCAGAAACGGCAGATCACAGTTATCGATTTTCATGTCGCTGGCACTCCAGGTAAATTGTTTGAGGGACTCGGCTGTGATGAATATCAGATTTGAGACCAGGGGAGAAAAAATGTGATGGGAGGGAGAGGGAGAGAAAAAAAAGAAACGCAGGAGAAAATGCTGACCTTGTTCTCCGGCCCCTGTGTCTGGACTTTTTTCTATTCGTCACTTTCTTCCCTTTGTCTTTTATTTCCCTCTCCTGATCTTCACCCTCGACACACTGAGCTCTATATTCTCCCTCCTTTCCAATTCTCTCTCTTTCTTCATACATATTCACCTGTCACTGCTGCCCTGACTCCCCTTCCGTCTCTCATCCCTCTCCTTTACTCTCTCACGCTTTCTATCTTTCTTACGACCCAGAATGTGGCGGCCTGATCCTTCTTAACTAGGATCAATAGAAGCAATTTCATCCCTAATTAATATCTCTGATGTGTTTGGCTCTGGTATCATACTTCATCTGTATATATGGAGAGAAAGCAGACTCAGTCAGATTAGAGATTATGCTATGATGAGCTGTCTAACTGGAGTAAGAAGGATGTGTGAAGTGTGTTTGTTGTGATGCTCCCAACATCCATTTTTCCTGAAAAAACTGAGGGACAATCATACATCCCTGAGGAACACCAAATCTATTAACTCTCACCCTGGGAACAGCTCTGTCCTTTGTAGCCGATGGAACACACACAGTTGCCGTCGGTGCAGGAGCCGTGGCTGCTGCAGAGCGGATCGATGCACTGCGTGAAGGGGACGTCACACTCGGGGCCCTTCCAGCCGCTGTAACACACACAGGAGCCCTTGTCGTATTGACCGTTGCCGCTGCATAGCACCGGGCACGCCGCTGGAGAAACGGAGAATGTGGAGGGGGGAGAGACAGAAAAATAAAAAATGTGAAGACTTTTAAGAGAATGTCTTACACACACCCATCCCCGTATAGCCCCACCAACATTTCCCAGTGCAGGAGGGTGAATAGAGTGGTTAAAGGGCCTCACAGTGGCGATGACATGAAGAGTAATTACAGGCAGAGGTAACTAAACTATTCATCAAAGCTGTCTATCCCAGGTGAGCGCCGAGCCAGTGAGACGTTAGCTAAGGGGGGGAGCTGCCATTCATCATCAGTCATCTTGTCTGGGCTCCACCAAGGGCCACGCACAATCTTACCGCTCCTAATCCTCTCTGCTGGCTGCATAGAGCCTAAATGTGCCTGTTCGTCTAATTAGACGGTGGGGAAAACGGCATATATCCTTTTTTTTTACGACGGAAGAAACACATTTGCGAGAAGCTAATACCTTTGGAGCAGTCCATGCCGTGGAATCCTGGGAAGCAGTGGCACACGCCAGAATTACACTCTCCGTTACCATGGCAATTGCGCGGGCACTCTTGCACTGAATCTGTGAAGGAGACAAAATGAGATGGAGAGGGAAAAGAGGGAAAGGGTAAGAGAGGAGTCTGATGGCAAGTATCAAAGCATTCGATTTGATAATTGGCACCATTCATTCTTTAAGGCACTGCAAATGGAGTCACACAGATTCCTTGCGTTCCTTTTTCACTGAATCTTTCATAGTGTGAGGAGTATGCATTTTGAATCAGACACGTCATTACCCATCCATTATTTCTCTCCATGCTGAATCAGAAAATACACAGACTCTTCTTCACCCCTGCCACGTTTTGCTTGTTTACTCTCTGGACCCACCAAGGTCATTAATACTTTATCCAGATGTGGTGGTGCGTCAGATTTTTGTGTGTTTCTGGCTCTGTGGTTACCTGACCTCAGTGCTCTTTCTACCTTTCAGTGCCTCCCAACCCACTTCCCAGAAGAGAGGAGCTTGGAAGGCAGAAACAGGGTCGATGCTAATGATAAGGAGGCATTTTGGACTTTCATCCCTTCCTCCTTCGCTTTAGTTCCGCTCCTCTTACACAAAGCATGACTCAGCCTATCCACACTGCCTTCCTCTCCAACACTTCCTCCTTCTTTCTCTGTACTCAGCCTTTCCCCCCCTCCCCCAAAAATCCCCACGTCTCCCTCTTACCCTAATGCCACCCTCTCTCTCACTCTCCTCTTCAGCTCCTCCTTCACTCCACTCCACTCATATCTGGTTTTGCCCCCACCATTATGTCTCTCCTCCAGCTCCCCCCTCTCCCTACTCACTCTAATTCTGCCCTTGCTGCCTCTCCCTGTCTCCTCTTCCGCTGAAAGCACTACCGCCAGATATTGACAGTGAAGGATTCTTTCACTCGGCTTGACTCTTCCTATTCACCCCCCCCCCTTCCCCCCCTCGGTATCACACTCATGCCTCCAGCACAATTGAAATTATTTGGGGCGCTGTTTCAAGCTCTTAAAAAACATCCCATTTACAGGTTTATTTGGATACATCCTTATCCGTTTCACACAAGCACAACACCACAACACATTCTACACTCTCTGCTATATTAGCTTTTGTTTTTGAATGCATACTGTCAATTTGTGCTACTGCATTTTGGCAAAAACAAATCTTTAGACTCACTAAGCGGTCCTGCCCGCTTTACAATGTTGCTATAGTTGTGTTGCTAGTGGCAACACTGTGCACATGCGGTTGTGAGTGTTTTTGCCCCCTGTGAAGGTGCAAAGTCCATATCCCTGTTAAAGGGGAACCATTGTTCCAGATCAAATGTAGGTTGATTTGGTTTTGAGGGTGGTTTTCTCAATTTGAACATTTTAAGGGTCATGTTAAGATGGTTACCCTCAATTTGTGATATGCAAGATTGTTATAGTATTGGTTGTTGGTTTTCACAAAGTTATACAAATTGCGAACACAACCCTCCAGAAAGTTTCTCATGTTTTTAAATTCTTGCTAACCTAAATATCCGGTCATTTCTCAAGTACACAACATCCACATACTTTGTTGTTGAAATGCATTGGATACTCAATTTGACATTTTACCTACTATGAATATAATGTTAATGTGATTTTGAACATAGCCTATGATCAAACTAGCAGCAGTTGACTTCAATTGTGGGTACTGTAGCGACTATGTTTTGATGTGTGGAATAAAACAAACACAACACCAATACTGCAGTAGGTTTCTCTTAAAAAAGATATGGTGCATTGTGAGTCCAACAAATGTAACTGCAGGAGTGCAATGCTAAACTGCTGGAGTGCTCTTAAATCAGTGTCACTGTAACAAATAGCTTCATCTCTCTCTACGCTTTCCATCTCCCAAATGCTGCTGCTTAATCTCATTTCAGCTCCCAACCTGCCTCACCCTCCTTCCCCACTTATTCTCCCTCCGCCCACAACTTCAAACTCACCCATGATGTTTGTGCTGAAGGAAACCGTCTCTCTCTCCCGCCCGTCGTTGTAGAAGGCCAGGTGCCAGGCGCCGGTGTCCAGGTACTGGACGAACACCGCCTCGTTGAGGACCACCGTCTGGATGCTCCTCCTCTCCCGCGGAGACTCCACCACGCTCCACTTCTCCTTCCCGTCCAGGCGCTCCATATAGTCATACTGCAGCAGAGAGAAGGACAGAGAACGTGAGGAGGTGAGAATAACATTATGAACCCTGTGATTCAACTATGAAGTGCTGCCGTGGCACTTTTCAGACTTTGAAAGATGGCCAATTGTTATATGTGCAGGGAGATTAAAAGATGGGGGAAGTAAATGTGGTTAGAAATGTCCCCAGGACGCATGAAGAAGGCCACAGAGAGACTGTCTTTCTCACTGAAAGTTTTTTTTTTTAAACTGCTGCCACAACTTCACGGCCTTCACCAGTTTAAGTCAGGTCAGACAGTGAAACGCTTGTTCAGACGCAATTATCCCAAGCTACAAATCAAATCTAGTGTTAATTGAGTAGTCTCTAATTAATACGAGGCAGTAAAAGTTACATTACTGCGAAATCTAATTAAGTGTAAATCTTAAACTAAATGAGTTCTTTCAAATGACTATTATAATGAATCACAAATTAATTTAACATGTCCCATGACACAGGCAAGTTTTTTTTATCAAATGCATTCTCCGTTTTGGGTGATCAATACGAAGATAATGTGCTCCCTAATGAGTAGAATTATAATTCTTTGATTGCTTTAGATAACCCTGAAGGTGTAGAAGCTTTGGTGGAAGTTTTTTTTACCTGTGCGTGTGAGGGAGGCAGGCCCTTGCGGATGTACACTCCGAAGAGGGCATCCTTTCCGAGGGAGATGTTGAACTTGAGGAATTGGGGTTGGCTGAGGTGGAGCAGAGACCTCCAAAACACGCCCGGTGGGACTTCCTGGGTCACTCGCCTCCCGACCTCGATGGTGCCCGTGTCTATACTGCTGTTCCGGCCTGCCCACGAACCTGGAGTGAGGGGAAAAGAAACTGCATAATCTGTGATTATAGGCATCGATTGTCAGAGTCAATAGTTAATCATCACATTTAACTGAAAATGAGCTGCTATAAAAATTCATGGCCATCGAATGGATGAGAAGATGAGCCCCATTAGCTTTTGCAAACTGTGCGCCCAAAGTTTATGTAAACTGAGCGTTGTGATGTGTGGCGGCGCGGATGCAAAACGCTGCCTTTGTGTCAAACGTTGTAAGATCGTAGAGTTTGTTTTTCTGGGCTAAAATGAGAGCGGGCCGATAGAACTGCAGGGCAGAGCTTTCCAAGCATCCGCGGAGAGAAACACACAGCAATCCAGCAATCAGGTCAGTCATCTAAGAGCAGAGCGCTGAGGCCCAGACAGTGTATGTGTGAGTGTGTGTGTGTGCGGAATAGCGATGAAATAAAAGTAACAACGAGAGGAACAACAGCAGCATCTGGCCTAGACGGCTGGGGAACACAACACAACAGTCCTCTCATTAATACAGAATACAGACACAGAGCAGCAGCCCACACATACCTATAGTACACGCTCTGTGTGTGTGTGTGTGTGTGTGTGTGTGTGTGTGTTACAGAGCGAGATCGAGCTAGTGAAAGAAGAATAGATGGAAAACCGCATGGGGGCTTTAAAGAGAGAAGGGGGGGGGGTGCAGTTGGTGTTTTACCTCGCTTCTGACTGAGACGATAAACCTAGCTCAATGCAACTCTGGTTAAATGGAAACACGCTTATAGCACATATAGTATCCTTTAGTTGGTGAGCGCTGATTTATATTTTTTCTTGTGCTTTAAAAATAATCTGTGAGTCTGTCTTTCATTTCTTTCTACTACAGTGTCTGCGGACCTCAGCCCTGAGCCAATTTGTGAGGACACGAATCTTTAAAAATTGAACAAAAATACAAAGAAGAGTGTGTACTGCATTTCTTGGGGACGATTTTCGTTGGCGGGTTAATACGCATTTGGCATGTTAGTGAGTATTTACTGCATTTCTTGGGGACTATTTTCAGTGGTGGATTAATACACATTTGGAATTACTTCCTGTCTGCCTTCTTCTGTTAATTTATCTGACGTCCAGCGCGCTCCGTCTTTTAACCTCTTTTCCTTTCTCTTTCTTGATCTTCCTTAGCAACGGTCATTATAGTCCTTGACAGTGGCCTGTACTGCGGTATTAACATGCGTGGTGTCACATGTTCTGAATTGACCAATCAGAATAGTATACAACTAAGCTGTGTAATAAGTGAGTATTAACATCAGTAGAATTCTGTATGTGCAATGGAGTCAAACACTAAATGTTTATTGTAATAAAAGAGTGTGTTTTCATAGTTTTTTTTATTTATGGCACACAATAAAAAGCTTTGTCATTTTTAAGTAGTTCATCCCTCCGTTTTGGTCTTTCCTTAAAGATCACCTATTATGCAAAATCCACTTTGTTATGTCTGTTATACATAACCATGTGTCCCCTCAGTGTAAAGAGATTCAGAAAGTTTCAGGAAAAAAGATTTGTTCACTTTTTGTCCTGATCCATTTATATAAAAACCTGTCTGAAAATGAGCTGATCAGATTCTGGCCACTTTATGATGTCATAACGATTTATTTGGCTTGTGTAACCATTAGCCAATCACCAACCAAGGTACCCCCCCCCACCTTATCACCTGAATTCTTCTCCTAGAGCACCATTGTGTCTTGGCAGTCTCAGTATCTCTCGGAGGGGCGTGGGGAGTGGCTCCTTATTTTCATCTAAAGTAACAGACAGAGAATCAGCACTTTTGGAACAGGGCTGAAACAGAGGGGTTTATGGGATGCTGCAATGATCTAGCCAAACACTTCAGAGACATGGTTTATATATCTGAGACATATAATATATTGATGAAAAACAGTATAATAGGGGACCTTTAAGGTTTTTTGATAACATATCACCACCTATTTCCAATTGAGGCAGTCATGTCGTCCAGAATTTTGCCAACTCTACATATAGCGTGTTGATTCTTCTGTGGGGTGTGTCTGTGTGTGTGCTGCAGTTCATACCTCTGCCTCCAGAGGGCAGCGTGGCCACATCGCTGTTGACAGGCAGGCCAGCTCCCAGTCCGTTGTTTAACACAGGGCCGTCGGAGGGCTTCAGCTGCCATGTCAGACCCAGCACGTTGATGGCTGCACACAAAGGCATGGAGAGAAGAGGAGACTGTGAGGACATATGACTTGAACGGTGGATTGTCTACGAGCCTGGCACAACAAAAAGCCTCACTTCAAGGCTCATCAAGTCAAATAAATACAAGAGGGTGAACCATTAAGTCATTTAAATGGCAGCTTTTACAGAACGCCACTTTGATTCTCGTGTTAATGCGAATCAATCAAATGACACTTTGGCAGGTAACCTACAGCACACAAATGGAGTCTTACAAAACTCACAATTTAAAACCATAGGGATTTTCTTTACCTCAACCACTCACAAATCTTCTTTCAACCTGACAGCGTCTCCTTGCTTGTATTTATGCCGCCTCGCAGAGAGCAAGTGACAGATTGCTCTCTGAAGAGATGGCTCTCTGACTCTCCTTTTCCCTTCTCCTCTTTCCTTTGTCCTCTGTTCTGTAATTGTGTGGCACTGGTGGTATAAAACTACTCCAGTGTGTTCGATCCTCACTTTGTCAGCTCTCTCGCTCCTAAGTCTGCTGTCAAGCGTGACCTCCCCCGAAAAACAAGCAAAAAACAAAAAGGTCTCTTACTGTACACAAAAGTTTTAGTTTGGTATAGACATAGGTTTCTACGGGTTGTAAAGGATTGGTTTAATCCATCAGATGTTCTCATATGTGAATACTTGAAATATGTTATAGAAGTGGCACCTGCAGCGTTGCATATCCACATGAACACTGTGGTGTGAGCTTTGAGGATGCACACGGCGTGGATTTGTGATCATGTGCGATGTATTATGTAGGTCTTATTGCGTTCCTCTCAGCGCTGGCCCCTGAGCCCTATAACACCTGCACTGAAGCCTGAGAATCAATTTCCCTCTTGTCAAATTCCATCTCCACATGCCCAGTTTCTGCACACACAGGGACGAGCGTATACAAGTTGCGAGAGAAAGAAAGAGAGACGCGGCTTTAGGAACTGCTGCCGGGGCAGACTCATTCTCGCCCCGGTGTCCCATCTCTCTTCCTCTCTCTGTTTCTTTTTTTTAATGTTTCCTCTCTTTCTCTATCCCTCCCCTCCCTCGCTCCCGGTCAAAAGAAAGCGCTGACACCTCGGCTGCTGCTCGGCTGCTGCTCGGCCTCCACTGTCAGCTCTTTTTTTATTTTTCATGGGGGGGCTGGAGTGCAGAACAAGAGAGACGGAGGCGAGAGAAGAAGAGCAACTAAACCCCCCTCCCCCCCACACCCCCCTTCCCTGTCTCTTCTCTCTTCCATCCACCTCTTGCCCTCGCCTCTCTCATCACGCTGACCTTCATTCCTCTACCTCTTTTCCTATTAATCCCCCCCTTTTTTCTTCTTCTTCTCCTCTTATCTTCGCCTGTCCTTCCTTGTAGATAACGCAGACATGCATCCGCGCACACATTCAGGCACACGGAGAGATGGTATCACGTGAAGCAGTCGATGGAAAGATTACCTGTTGAATCGGCAAGAGACAGTGAGCAATAGTGAGTCTATTGTGATGGCGCTCTCAATCTAGGTCATCCCCAAGAAGGCACCAGACAGCCCTATAGAAAGCGTATTGTGTATGTTTGCCCACTGTGTGTGTGTGAGGGGTCGCTGCACATCTGTGGTTCTCCTAGTTCTTTTCTTCTGTGGGTGGTTGTGGAAAGTCGACCAACAGATGGCACTCTTACTCCTCGGCGACAGGAGCTCAAAAGCTTTGTCAACAGGTTTTCTTTGCAGCAGCATAAAGAGCAGGAGAGACAGAAAGAGAAAGAAGACAGAGACAGACTCTTGTTTTCATTTACAAGCTCCATCCCTCTTATTAACAGCACTTCTTACTTAGTTAGGGTGTAATTTTGGCCCAAACCCAAATGCTGAAATTGATGCATTTGGCTTTGTGTTGCCATCATTTTAAGCATTTTCTTTTCAGGTCATAATTGCCGTAATTGCTGTTTTGGAGCTGCATTGGAAGGCTTTATTAAATGCCATGCCGATAATGCCTATCTGAATTGAATTCGACTGACTGACACCAAGAGAAGCCTCTCTTTGATCTCTCATATTCGTCACGAGTAAACACACATGTACACTCAACACGGAGAGATCACAGGGAAACAGGTTTAACAAGCAAACGAGTCGGATTAAAAATAGATCTGTTGCTTCGAGAGGTTTTTATGTAATCTCGATGCATAATTCAGAGAGGCAAAGTGCTTGCCAGTATCATCTGCAAAAGACAGCATGTGAAACGGCAGCACACGTGAACCTGTGACAAAAACAAAATGATAGATAGGGGGGGGGGTGGGGACAAGAGACGATAAGAAGGACGAGGTGGTGGTGGTGGTCAGGCTCAGAGACGGGGGTCAGGAGGACTTTAGGAAAAAACCTCGACAGAGAGGAGGAGACAGGAACAGAGAGAATACTGGAGGACAGCGAGAACTGAGGGAATATTAAAGAACATAAAAAATCCCCTGAAGATTTTTAAAAAAAAAACAGGAGGAAAAACTCCAGATGATGCTGCAGAGAGGAGAGGAGGAGATGAATAAAGGCCCCTACGGATGGGAAAAAGGGGGGAAGACGAGAAGAGGATGGCAAGTGGAGAGGAAAGATTTAAGGGATGAGTGGCCCTGTATTCGTTGACTGGTAAGAAAAGATGGCCGTGATTCATCCTCTGACAGTAAGTGCTTCTCAGTGCGGGGCAATCAGACAGAAATACAATGTGTATAGGCTACGTGTGTTTGGGGAAATATTTATATGCCTCAGAGTTAAAGGGTGCAAATGGATTTCTGCATGAGAGTGGCAGAGATGGAGAAAAGGTGACTTTGTAGACAGAGAGTGTCCCCAGACTGGAAGATATATCATCATCATTCTGTTCCCTGGAACATGCTTCAAACTCCTTTCCTCTCTCCGTGCGTTGTCATGTCTCTCCCGTCCCTGTCTCATCTCAACCATATCATTGCCTATTTAAAAGGCAGCATCTCCCATTCAAGCAATTGCACTGCTCCTAATTGCACAAAAGCCAAAGTGGCCCTCTTGCATGTATTTCTTGCAATGTGATTACGATTACACACACACAGAGACTGCAGGCAACACACTTCTCTTTGCCATCTCCCCTGGCCGTCCTGGTAAATGCATATTAACTGTTCTAATTCGCTACTAAATTAACAACTCTGACCTCAATTAGGGCGGTAATTGTAGCTGAGGCCAGCCCCCCATCCTCGGCCCGGCTGCTAATTGGTTTAGGAAGCCCTGCTTTTTCTAAACACCTCCCCAATTCCAAGGCCCCTCATTTGGTCCAGAACAAACACAAAAAGAAACCACCTTAAAAAAAAACGCACCGTCGCTGTTTCTTTTTTAACCGCCTCACTCTTTATCTCTGCGGCAAAGGGGTGCAGTGCTAATACGGAGGGAGAGGAAGAAAAAAAGCAGCCTCTAGTTTCTCGATATCCAGCAGCCATTTGGGATATTTCTTAGACTTTCCCACACAATAGCCACTTATGTAGTCTATGAATAAAGCAGCTTTCTCTCTCAGCTAAGTTTTGAAGGCGCTCGGCCGCTCGCTGAGATCATTTAGAGTCTCCGACGGAGGGACGGGGGCGGCGGTTGGCTGCTGCCCTCGGGGGTCATAGACACTGAGAGAGACAATTTGTCTGCTGCTGAGTGTATCTGGGTATGCATGCTTATAGCTTGGTATTAACCAACAAGTACACACACACACACACACACACACACACACACACACACACACACACACACACACACACACACACACACACACACACACACACACACACACACACACACACACTGCTGCT